TCTCAGTATATAATGCTTAGCTGTGTTCATTTTGAAACACTTGCCAGGGTGGAGAAACCTTATTTTGAGCCTTGTGATATCAGTAGTGCTAATCAAAAGAAAAATTTAAAAAAATTAGGACAACAGGTTAATGGTCCAAGAAAGGGACTTACAACAGGAATATCAACTTCTCACTTGCTTCTGAAATGTGGTACCATAACCGCAGGATTCACTGAGTCATCTGCATACATCTTGATAAGGTTTAAGGCTATAAATACTGTTTTTATAAAAATGAAATGTACGTATACATTTACCAGAATCTCTTCATACATATTTGTTTTTCAATTAAATTATTTAATTAAATAGACAATTTAACTCCAGACTTCAAATTATTTTACATTACAGTTTTTGAACAAAATTTGAATTGTATTTTGATAAAGGGCATTTTAAATACCAGGCAGAGATTGGCATTTAGCACAGCAGATGGGGGTTTGTAGTGTTGCCCAGTGTTTAGTCTTAATCTTGCTTTCTTGCCGTGAATCCTAGCCAAATACTTTTTTTTTTTTTTCTTCCTACAAAAGATAAAATTCTGACTTGCTGGCTCTTGGGGGAGATGTGATTGAGAATAAGAAATACAGTGTATGTGGGATGTGGGAGAAAGGCAGGGTAACCTATGATAACTCTCAGGACTGCTCCGTCTATGACCCCTTTCCCTCTGCCATCATTGCAACCCTACAACCGAGAGATTCTCACCCTTTTGATTTTTTCAGGAACTTTCCTCTGATTCACTTGCTCTTGAACTGTGTTTTAGGGCAAAGTAGTCATTGTAGTACTCATACCCTTTGTTAACAATTTTTTTTATGAGCCTGCTAACTTTCCATACAAAAGTTAACCAATCAAACAAGCAAAAGTATTGTGAACTGTGTGAATATCCTGAGAGAGCAATCTCCTGCTGTTTGGGGGTGGGTTCAGGGCTGTTTTGGGTTTGTGTGTGGTAGAGGGTTTTTTGTTTGCTTGCTTATTTATTTTTAATACCTCCCATATGCTGGCATTACCTTGGAATCTCTGGATCTTGGGTCTTCTTCCCTTAGAACTCTGTTCCAGCAGACTTTGCTGCTTATCATCATGTTGCCTCGGTTCTGCTGGGCTCAAAGAGCTGGGTTTGCGCTGTGTGTTTGGGCTTGCCTGATCTCTGGGATGCTGGTGCACCTTCTGCAGTTCCAGCTGCTGCCCTTCCTGCCATGTCTGGTTGGTTTTGCCCCTGCTGTGGCCCTTGTTGTGCCAGTGCTGTTATCTGTGCCTTGCTGTCTCCTTCCAGTACCTTCCTTTCCTGTGCAACTGGTTTTTGTCCTTTGGTTTCAGCCTCCTTCACTCCAACTCCTGCAGTATGAGTAGGGGCTGTTGCTGGTCCGTGCATACACTCCTTACCACCACCCTCATCTTCACTCAGCCGTGTACGAGTGATCCTAGATCTTCTGTGTCTCTGGGAGCCTGTATATCCACATATCTTTTCTGGGTTCTTTTTTTTGACAGTCTTACAAAACTAAATCAAACTTGTATGGTGACTGTACCAGATCCCTGTATGCATTCCAGTTTGCATACAGCAGCTCCAGCTGTGCAATTCAAACTTCAAGTTGTTGGTGGTGGTGGTGGGTAATGGGACTGAAATTTGATTGTGGTGGTTTTTTGGGTTTTTTTTTGAGACTTGCTTGCCATTTCTGTGCCTATCCACCACATACCATGCAATTCACACATGCTGTCTTCTGGAACAAAGTGCTAAGTAGTAGGAAGATCACCCGATTACAGGTTTTATTGTGATCCAGCATGCTGTGATAAAGATAGATACACTTTTGTTAGCAACAGTTCCCTTGATGTGTGTGTCTTGGAATAGATTAATTATTAAAGATGCCAACTTGATCTCCTCAAGTTTTGTAAGCTGTGCTTATTTCTGTGATGTGTTGTCTTTTTTTCCTACTGAATTTAGCTGCCTTTGGTGTTTTTTTTTTCTGCCTTTGCTCAAACATTCTGTGATTTAGCATGAGTCATTCTGTCTATGTGGGAAAGGGCTGTTTTATTACAGGGTCCGTTCTTGAGCGGGGAGGGGAAAGGGTGGAATGTATTTGTGTTTTCCATGTGTTTGTTGTGGAAATGCATAAAACTTTTTTTTCTTCTTCTCTTTCTTTCCTCTCTTCATCATCTCATCTGTGTGGGTGAATGTTCCTGCAAACCCTTGGGGAACCTATAGAGACGTTTGGTATGCTCATTCCTTCATTAGTGCCCAAAGTCACAGATGCTAGGTGCAGCTTAGACTAGACAAGCCAACAAGAGCCACATCGTCACAATGTGAGGTGGCTAAAAATGTGCACTTGAGGAAAACTTCTAAGTCGTCATCTGAACACCTGTTTATTTGCATCACCACACTAACTCCGATGGCCACTGCTGCACAGCTGGCATAAATTTTGATTCTGCACTTGAAGAGTAGAAATGAAATGTGTTCTCCTCTAGCAAGAGCTGCTGTTTTGTGATTGAGATATAATTTTCAAAAGTATCTACCCTGTTTCAAATTCCAAGTCCTATTTTGAGAAAGGACTGAGGGGTATGCACTCAAGGTGCCTAATTCTGTTTGAGAGCACCTGTTGAATTGTGTTGAGGTGTAGGAGCTCAGGTGACCTCTGAAAGTGAGAACCAGGCACAATTTGACCCACTCTCTCGTTAGGAAGAAACCATAATTCCAATATAACACATCACAAAATATAAAATAATTTTTAAAGGAAGGTGATTTTAAGATAAATGGGCACCATTGGGTAGCTTTATTTTGCATGTACGTGTTCAATGCTGCTTTTTAAAAAAAGAGAACCAAAGTAAAGTAGAATAAGGTAGAAGTTTTGTTGCAGGAGAGCTTGTGGCTTAGTGATATTCTAGAAATGAGAGATTTTTCTCACATATCAGCAATTTAAGTATTTCCAGCTGTATTGCATTTATTTCATAAACAGCATTCTTTGTTCCATAAGTAGAACAGAGACAGAAATGACTATGGAAATGTCATTGCATATTTTTGTAAATACTGAATAGTCATATTTCAGTGCAAAATATATGGAAAATTAAAATATTTATATGAACAACAGAGATAGCATGAGGGATATTTACGTTCACTTCTAAGCTACAGCCACTTAAGTTTGAAGGCTCAGCTTTTTGGTAATCTTACTGATCCTCCTGGATTTTTTTCTCATTATTAAGAGAAAATAATACGTGTGTTACTTTGACATAAATTGATGTTTGAAAAACTTTATCAGTATTGATCACTTGATCACTTCATCTCTGTTCTCCTAATGGAACGAATTTGGACATTGCTAGTTTCCTTTTTTTGTGATGAGAAATTATTTCATGCCACAAGAAATCTGTCCTTTTTTCAAATTAGGATCATTAAAAGTCATTACATGAATAACCTCTATAATTTAAAAACAAAGGAAATATTTTCCACACATAGGATAAATATGTAAAAATTTTTCACTGATTAGCCACTAAATATTTTTAACTCAGTGAGTTTTAATACCATTTTATAATAGTACCTTTGATATAAACTGTGTTTTTATTGCTCTGCTTAACCATAAGTTTAGGATACTGAGTATGTTCCTCCTCTGATACTACTCTTAAAATAAAATAAAATTACTGACTGGATATCATGCTTTAAACACTTTCCTAATGTTGAGGTCTGCCAGAACTTTTGACAACTCTCCTGAAATTTTCATTATATTTGCTGCTCCATCAGAGCCAGTGATGGTGGGAGCCATAAACCTCCCTTGAGTATTTTATGATAATCAAGTCAAGCACACCTGAGAGCGGGGGGAAAAAAGAAAAAAAAAAAAATCATTCATGACCAGCTTTCTCCAGGGCTACTTTTGTTTTTACTGCTGCTGGAACTTTACTGGTATAAGAAGAGAATTTTTAAAAAGTTTTGTCAACATTAGTATTCACTAAAAAGTACAAAGAAGTTCCAATTTGTTTACAAAGTGTTATAAACCTAATTTTTGTTGACTGTCAGAGTGCAGAGTACAGTTACTAAAATGTGTATTTCTAGATACTGCCCAGAGCAGTCGTGGCGTATTGCTGCGTGCTTTTAGCAACTGCTTAGGCAGAGCGTCACAGTACAGGAAATCCACTGTTATTAACTTTGTGTTACGTGAAATGATTCAGAGAACAAAAAGCCAGTATGATATTTTCTTCTTGATTCTGTGACTTTCAGAACCACAGCAGTGTTTGAAACACCTCCCGTTAATGACTGTGCGTGAAGTAATCTGCACTGATCTGGCTGAGCATTGATATTCAAAAAAAAAAGAGCAGCTGAGGGATGATCTGAGCAAAATATGTTGGTGCACATTTTAAACAGTCATCCAGAATTTTGCCATTATACATTCCTTCAGTTTCAGTGGAAAATCAGTATTAAAAGTGCATATTCTCTGACTGTGGGCATGCTTAATGTGCAGTGTTGTATCCCTGTGCTTTATCTTTGCTTGCAGTAATGCTGTCCGTTCGGTTCTTGAGCTTGCAAACAGCTTTTAAATAAAGGTGATGAAGGGAAAAAGCAATGAGATTGACGTTACAGTCAAGCAACTGAAAGAAAATGCAACTTTTATTTAACAAAAATAGATTAAAAGTCAATCTTTGTGGAATGGCTTTTTATAAATGCCAGGTGTTTGGTTTTTTCCCAGTTGAATTAAGAATGTCTAACATCACCTTAAAGCCTGCTTGCCTATAGAGTATTGTCAGTTATTAGAACTGGCAAAATTTAAGTAATTTGTGTAGAATGATGTAGTTACTCCAGAAAGCATAGATATCACCTAGAGACGTGGTAGAAGTTCTAGAGGCATTGATGCTTGCTTTCATACATGGTGAAAATAGCATATTATGAATTGAAGAAAGAAGTTGATAATGAAGTTTATGTATTTTGTTAACAAAGCATTTCTATTACATCCATCATTAATTATATTAATTAAAATGTACTTTTTTGTGTGTGTTTTCAGTGAAAGAGTTCCTAGCCAAAGCCAAAGAAGACTTTTTAAGAAAATGGGAAAGCCCCCCTCAGGTATCACTTGTTTAAGCATTCAATAATTTTCTGTATTGCATTTGTTGATAATGTTATCAGTGTGTTATCAGTTGGCAACGGGCAGAAAACAGAAATAATTATAGTGCCATTTATAAAGGAGTTTCTGTTTTTAATGTCGGCTTTGTCACTGAAGTTCATCAGCGAAGGCTCTGGGGTCTTCTTTGGATTTGAGCTGATGAAATGTTCATACTGAACAACAGGTTTTCTCTTTTGAGAATGGTGTTCACAATCAACATGACAAGACTCAAAATCTGTTGGCATGTTTTAGTTGGCTTTTTTTATAACAAGAATCTTTGGCGCATCTGTAATTTACCATGCTAATAATTTCCCTCATGATAGTAAGGGGAATTAAGGGTCCTAAGACTACTGTACAGGGCTGGGGGCAGGTTAAGGAACTTGTTAGAGAGAAATCTTGTAAAATTTTAACATGGGGAATTTTGATTTTGGGGAAGGGTCGTTGTTTTAAAGCAGCATTTGAAATGCTATGGCAATGAATATCTGAGAAAATGTACTCAGTGACATTCTCTCCATGTAGAACTGTCTCTAGAACTTGGGGGTTTTTGCATGTTCTGATATTCTTGTTTGTGAAGCATGAGGGGGTTATTTATCTGCATGTTAAATTCATGATCAGTTTACTGCTAGGTGTTTCTTACTAAACATGTGTCACCTGTGTGGACAAATTACAGAAAAGTGATATAATTTGGTTAAGTCTTTCTGTTTTAACGAGTGCAGTGTAAAATCTCTTACTAAAATTTGACAAGTGCGAAATTATAACAACAGTACAGTTGGCTATAGTTGTCTTTGATAAATGTAATTTTATTCAACTTCTTTAATAAATGGATTTAATTCATACAGTTAAAATCGTCTTTGGGTATTAGATTGTTAATAATGTCCTTATATCCTTGTACCTGTAGAATACTGCTGGCCTAGATGATTTTGAGAGGCAAAAAACCCTTGGAACAGGATCATTTGGGAGAGTAATGATGGTGAAACATAAATCCACAGAACAGTATTATGCTATGAAGATACTGGACAAACAGAAGGTTGGTATAATTTATAGTGGGTTTCGTGGTACAAAAGAGTTTGATGTAGACAAAGATCTGGTAGCTGTGGCTGAACTGTGTTGCACAGTCTGTGCTTTTTCTTATCACACTTGGATACCAGTGATAATTTAAACACTTGACTTTCTCTTTTAGCCAGTAGATTCAGTTGATGGGATTGTGTAGCATTCATACAATGAGCAATAACATTAACAGCAGGCCAAAGAGGCTCTAAGTAGTATTCAAAGCATTAATAAAATGTTATCAGGTAAATTCTTTGCGTTGCTTATGTAAGGTGACCTATGTATTCTTTGGTGAAAGCAAAATGTCGTGCTGTGGTTTAAATAAACAAATAAAGAAAGAAACACTTGCACGGTAGCTCAAAGCTCTGGAAGGCTCTTGGGATCAGAAATTCTCAAAAATTTCCTTTGTGAACCACAGTTGAAATTAAAATTGTTTGCACAAATTATTTCTTTTCCATTCTTGATCCCATGATCAAGAATGGATGGATCAAGAAGTATGGATCTTGATCCCACGCTTTTTGTATGTATAATTATGTAATAATCCTGTTGCATCAGTAACTGCATAGATAGAACAGTAGTCTCCCTCTCAGAACAGCTGTCACATAATGGATATTTTCTGTGTCAAAAACTTCAGTGAACCTGTATTGCTGCTCCAACCTGATTTCTTTTTTTTTTTTAACAGCTTATTACTCTTAGATTAAGTAAGCAGTGTTGTTTGGTAAAGTTGAAATTTTAACCAGAATTAAATAGATTAAATTATGTAAATAATTATATAAATAGCTTAATTAAATAGAATTAAATTTAAATAGAATTCCAGAATGTGGAAAAGCATTTTAAAGGAATTTATCATTACAAGTAGTTTTTAATGATTTTGGCAAGTTTTTCAGAATTACTTAGATTTGCATTATTTAGATTAGTAGATTTAAAGGTCCGTAACGTAAGAACTCTTCTTACTTTGTAAGACACTGTACGTAACTTTGCTGCTGTGTAACAAAAATCATATTAAGAAAATATTGATCGGGCAAAGAGAATTTAATAATCAGCAACTAACAAAATCCAAGTCAGCGTTGCCTCAGTATGGACTCTTGCACTCAGGCAATATGACATTTCTGAGTGATTTTATATAATGGAACTACAGCAGTGACATAATCAAACTGTTTTGCCCGAGTTGCAGTTCCAGGATTCTTCACCTGTGATCTGGGGCCCTGCACCACGAGTAATGGTTCATTTAGTTAAGCATTACTTTAAAATGGTCAGATAAGGAGGAATTAAAGTAAACTGGTGTCAAATCTGACATTATTTTTTGTTTTTACTTGGAACAGCTCATTTTTTTTGCATCTAAAGCATTCTTCTCTAACAGTGGTTTCTAACTTACATTTTTTAAAAAATCCAATTAAATTAAAATGACATTCCAACACAGTACAACTGAAAGACAGCCCAGACCATTTCCATCTGTGTGGAAATGCACCTCATCGTTACCTCAGTATGGCTGATGGCATCCTGCGGGAAGAGCTGCTGTAGCAGCCCACTGCTGCACAGAGAGCCCATCACCAAATTTCAGATTTTCAGCTGTTTCATTTTTTACGAATGGCTGAGTTTTTACCACTGGAACAGTTTATGAAATTACATCTTAATTCAGAAAGTTGCTATAAAAATAATCGAGGATTTAAAAAAAAAGTTCATTAAATTCATGACTACCTCTCAAAATTGGAAAACTATAGTTATAAAATTTTCTGGCAAAAGCAAAAAGTCACAAACACATTTCTATCACTTCTTTTATTATAGAAAACATAGAGATGTCCGAAATCAGACAATGGGCAGGCTGCCTGTAATTTTTTGTTTCCATTTTACTTGAAATAAGAGAAAGCAGATAGTGTACGCCTTTGTTATCCAATCTTAAGCTTGATTCGTCAAGTTATGAAAAGAAATGGAGTAGATGTTGGTATAGGCAGTAGTTTGTGTATGTAGGGATATTATTCCTTTGTCTGCCTCGTGTTAGAAAGGCTATAACACACCATTGCTTGGCTGCTTTTGTTCTGTAATGGTTTTTGGAAAGAAAATATCATGAGTGAGAGCTCGGGCACAAAGTTGCTGCTGGAGAACGTGCCGGTGGGCACGCCCTGAGCCTGAGCTGTGTCAGCAGAGCCATGCTGGGGAGGCCCTGGGTTGATGGTACGGAGTGTTGAACAGCAGCTTCAGCCCGTGGCACTGCTGCCATCTCCCTCCACTGCCTAATGGGCAGGAGATGCAGGAAGTGGGGAAAGTCGTGTCTGGCACTGCAGCTTGAACACCTCACAGACTCAAGCCTCAGGTTTCTTGCTTGGATGGACAAGAACATTCTGGTACGGTAGCTTTTCAGGGGTGGAGGGGACACCTTGCACAAATGAGCCAACTTGAGCAAAATTCTTCTTTGGTCACTAAAGATCTGATTCAAAAGAGATTTAATGTTTTTAAGTCGCTATTAGTTTTGCATGGCATTTATTTCAAAGCAGTAGTGAGTTTTTTGTAGGTACTACCTTTTGCATCTAAAAGGTAAATTTAAATACACTTTCAGTCAGAGTTGAAATATCTTGCTTATCTGTTATTTATAGCAGTTACATTTGATTTCCAAACACAAAACCAAACTTGTTTGATCACTCTTGTACGTTTTCTCCTTGTTTCCTATGGAGAAAGAAAAAAAAAAAGTAATTTTACTTGGCAATCATGCGATTCTCAAAATGAGGTATAGATAAATTGTGCAATAAGAATTAAGTAAAATGGAAATAACTGATTATGCAATGTTGGGGTTTAACACAAGGAAACCAATTATTATTGACTGAGAAAGAGCAATAATCAGAAATCAGCCATCTGCCCCCTTGTTAGCAGCTTAACATTTTAATGGATTCCAAGAAGTAACTATTGCTATAAGAATGGAAATTCTGACTTTGTATTCTCCTTATTTTTCTCATTAATGTGTGAACTATATAAAGTGTTTACTCCTGTTCACAGATAGCGAAATCCATAATTAAATGTGTCTGACAGTCTCCTGCCTTTCTTAACTAAGGGTCCAGAGATCAAACGGATTTTACTGAACTGCTGCAGAAGTATCTCCATTACAAGCATAAGCAATTCTTAAGGAAATGCAGAGAGGTTTTCCTTGCTATCTTCTATGCACTATTTGTAGAGTTGTTTGCCAACTGTATTGCACAAGTGTTACTCTTTAAAATGTTGTTAGGCTTTTTAATCCTTTCTTGGCACTGTTATTGTACTGTATTGTAATCCATAAGGTTTTTCATTATCTGTAAAGTTACAAGCTTGCTGTCAACTAATTGTTTAACACTGAAAAATTTATCAACAACTATAAAATGTCACACTTAAACTGAGTATTTTTTTCTCTCTTAGGTCGTCAAACTGAAGCAGATAGAACACACACTGAATGAGAAGAGAATATTACAAGCAGTGAACTTTCCTTTCCTTGTTAAACTGGAGTATTCTTTTAAGGTAACCATCATTTTGAAAGTAGTTGCTGGGTTTCAGGGAAGTGTCTGCTTAAACTTGCACTAAGCATCTTCCATCTCTTCTTTCAGGTCCCTTACACACCATTCTGTGTCAGGAACTCACTAATTATCTTTATACAGATTTACATTAAAATAGATTTTGTGAGATGTATGATGCTTCTTTGGCAGTTTTTCAAGAATTTCTACCCATGTTGCTTTATATTTGCCAGGGCCATTGGATGACTACAATTTTTCATTTCATTCATTATTAAAATACACTTTCTGTAGGAATTACAGAAACTATAGCATGCCTAATGTGTATTTGTGTATGTTTACTTGTTTCCTTAGGACAATTCTAATTTATACATGGTAATGGAGTATGTTCCTGGTGGTGAAATGTTTTCACATCTAAGAAGAATCGGAAGGTTCAGGTAGGAGTATTAATGACATTATTCCTTTAAAAAGGCTTAAGTTGCTAATTTGGAAAGAGAGTTTTACAAAATTTTTTAGCATTGAGGAAAAAATTCTGAAGGGTTAAATGCATTTAATTTACCTCTTTTTCAGTATTAGGCAGTGAAGAACTTGTAAATATTTCTTATGTTTTGATTAGTTAATACAGACATTTGTGATCTATGCATTATAAAATCTTGGAATGCCTATGGATATTGTCACTGAAACTGATGGTAGTTTCTAAAAGTAAAATTCCAAGTTTAAGATCTGCATTGTGGGATACATTCATCTTAATTTGCGTGTGTATTTTAGCTGCAAGACTTAAATTTAGGGAATGCATGTATCAATTCTAAAACATTTGCTTTTCTTTTTCTTCTTACACAGTAAAAGAACTGGTTAAAAGATTTGTCTATCCCTGGCAGTTACATGGTTGTTTCAGTACCTTAGCATAGCACTGGGGTAATAATTATTCTTCTAATTCTTTACAGTGAACCACATGCACGGTTTTATGCAGCTCAGATAGTGCTAACATTTGAGTACCTCCATTCATTAGACCTCATCTACAGAGATCTAAAGCCTGAAAATCTTTTAATTGATCAGCAAGGATACATCCAGGTATGATACTGTTCATATATTTAGGGAGTGGAGTCTTGTCTTACTGTGTAGATTTAGGTAATTCTAGAAAATGTGTTTAGAATAAATGGTCTGAAGCTGTTTGGCAGGTTAGCCCATTTTTGGGGCAGTGTTCAAATGCCCTTCTGCTTAGTAATGGTTAAAACCATTGGTTTGCACTTCCTCTGACTAAAATTCAGTATGCACAGCGGAGCTGCCTGCAGTTGAGCCAGTTGTCGGTTCCCTTGGGGTCTGTGATGAGAAGTAGGTGATTACACGGCTCTGTTCATCTGACCTATTTTATATGTCTGCCCTAGAACAAGATGAAAGGTGCCCTAAAATATCTGTTTCTCTGCACTGTCTGTATAAGTAGTTTAGGAAAACCAGCTTGGATGTTAACTGACATTATAGTACTTAATGTGTGTCAGATGAATCCCACCCTTGGAGAGTCCTGGCCTTCTCAGCACATCTGGAGTAAGAGCTGAGTTGAAGTCAGATCAGAATTGCAGTGTGCAAATAACGACTGTTTTCCAACAGTCTCTCCTGGCACCTTCTCATCTTCCTTTTAACTAAATTTAACCTAAATGGCAAATGGGAAGGCAAGTGCGTGCAGCAATAAGCACTCTGCAATGCTTTACAGTCTGTAGACTATGGAAGTTCTTCATTTCTCATTGTGTCACCTTTTGCCATAGCAGAATCTAACGAGAAAATACATAAAAACATGTTTCAGAGAAGTGGAAAGGAGTCCTATCTTAAACAGCTTATAACTGTAAAATAATTTTGCCCAGAGAGTAAAATAATACCATAGGGAGAAGATAAACACAAGGTCCTTTAATGCAGTTGGGGAGCATCATTAATGTAAAGCTTTGACTGTCTTAGTCCAGAGCTGGCAACTCCCTATATGCAACAGTTATGCTTTTGTGATGGTGTGCAGAGGGAGATTTGTGTTCATATGTTGATGCTGCAGCTCCAACTTCATTTTGTTTTTCCATTTTAAAACCATTACTGTTTGTCCTGTGTCTGCAGTGTATTCTTCTTACATAGACTGAAGTGCATTCCCAAACACAGAAATGATTCTTTGCTAACTGAAGCAGGTCTGTCTAGTCAACATGTCACCCACTCTGTTCAGTTCCAGCTGTTGATGCTGTTGTTTCTACCAAAAATGAAGCAAAAGCTGCCTTGGTAGTTTGGAGTTTGGCTTCTTTAATTGTGACATTAGTGTATAGGACAGGGTTACTCTATAATTAGCAACAGTTCTCATTGTAGTACCGTATGCTTTCTTGGGGAATGGGTTGAAAGTGATACCAGGAAGGAGGAAACGAAAGAAAAAGATCCCCAAACAAGCATAGACTTGGTAGCTTAAAACTGATCCCAGAATTTCCCATGTAACTACCTGGCTTCCGTATACGTTCCACACTACAATCCAGGGAAAATCACAGGGAGTATGGTATTGCATACAGAGTTCTGAAAACTTACTGCAGAAAACATGACAAGTGAAAGGAAGCATTTATAATGGCCAAGTACTTGCCATTTATGAATACAATTACTGCTACATTTTTTCCCCCCAGGACTCAAATAAACAAACTTGACTCTGGTGATGCTTTCAAAGATACTCAGAATCAGAACTTACTGGAAAACCTCTTTTATGTTGTCTTATTCCCACGCTAATTTGACATATAACCTTTATACACTTATGCAATAAAATTATAAATTTACAAGACTGTTGGACATCTTGACCCTTTTTGTGATTCATTTATTTGCTAAGTAAAGGAATATATAAATATCTTATTCATCTTCTTTAAACTTTCAGCAGTACAAACAGCCCGATGTAAAAAGTTTAAGAAAAATGAATAATGTAATTGCTGTGCCTGTGGAAGATTACTAAGCCACAGTTCCCACTGATTTTTTAAGTTATACGTAGAAGCTTATGTCAGGTGATAATACCCACTTTGTGTTCTTTCTTAATTACATGAGAAACCTTCTGTTTATTGAGAACTGAACTAAATGTACATCTGACTAGATGCTACTATGTGATTTGAGAAATAAATTTTTCCTCTGATAAAATGATTTCCCAAAAGATTTCAAAAGTACTTACTTTTAAATTTCTTTGTAGCAATGCACTGACAGTCAGTTTATTTCTTCTGATGATAGGTCACGGACTTTGGCTTTGCAAAAAGAGTAAAAGGAAGAACTTGGACGTTATGTGGGACTCCAGAATACCTGGCACCTGAAATAATTCTCAGCAAGGTACTTTGTCTTGTTACTCAGCCATGCGTTTGATGCAGTTAAAACTTAACCACCTAATTATTAAACTCTGAGGGATAAACAATTGTTGATACTTTGAAAAATCAAATCTTGACCAGTGAATTCTTTATGAATTACATAAAATGCAGTCATTGCATTGTGAATATTTTTAGTATGCTAAAACTTATGCCAAATCAGGAATTTTTCCATAACTATACAGAATTTTCTACATATGCTTGCCATGTAACTTGTGAGGGGAAAAGAGATTTTAAAAGTCTGCAATGAGATATTTAACTAACATCCTTATCAGAACAACAGAGCTCAGTGATTACATTCTGAAGTGTTAACAGACTAGAACAGGAACTCCAGAGGTAACAGGAATCACGTATGGGATGAATCAGTAGTCATTACATGATTAGTGTTTCAGGTTTAAGGCAGTTTCCATGAAATCACATGTGACAATCCACTGGTTTTACACATAAAGTACATGTAGCATAAGCTTACTCTTGGTCCGATTGTCTGGTACTTGCACTAAGTGTTCAAACATAGATGAAGTAGTATTAATCATATAGCTGTTTAACTGTAGCCCTATATATTCTGCAAGGGGAAAATACAGTTTATAGAACTGCTTATGCTATAAATAGTCATAATGCATAATGTTAAATTGCGCATTTAGTGTGTGATTTAATTCAATACCTTAGCAGGTCTTCAAAAATATACAAACCCCACCTGTATTTGAGGGAAAAAATGTTCTTTCTATGCACCTTTTTTTGCACCAGTGCAGCTGAAACAGCAGAAGAAATTGCAATGCATGTAACAGAAATTCTTCATAGTGGATTCTTCAGAAAAGACTGAGTCTGAGCCCTGAGCTTTCTAAAAGATCTCAGGGAACATATATGAAATTGATAGGTTTGATGGGTTTTTTGGCTTTTGTAATACTGAATAGGACCTACTAAGGATTTAATGTTCGGATTTTTAAGATCATGTCATAAATGTCTATAACAGCTTATTAACTAAACTTCTAAGCTCTTGTAGCTAGTTCACTCCATATGAAAATTAATGTTTTGAAATGTGGATAATCAAGCAAAAAGATGACAGTGTACAGTCTAGGAAATACTGTGATATTTAATGAAATGTTCCTAAGCTTTGAAGAATTTTCAGTCATTCTGTAATAAGATAGTTTTAATTTTAAGTAAATAAATAAATTGTACTCATTTGTCACTTGGGGATTCTTGTCACGTCACTGTAAAGACACCACTGGCACTCATGACATAAATGTATGCAAAATGTTTAACTTCTATCACTGTTTCACAGTCATCACTGTCTTAGGGTGTAAGTGTATTGCTGTTGGAATCTGTGACTGCCAGTTTGGTTTGAATTAAGCTCTGTATTGAACAAACAATGTAGTTGCTTTCTTTGTATTCCACAGGTATATACTGAAAATCTTAATCTGTGTTAGAAATGGTACTAACAGTGGGATGTTTTTATCCAGGGTTACAACAAGGCAGTGGATTGGTGGGCATTAGGAGTGTTAATCTATGAAATGGCAGCTGGATATCCCCCATTCTTTGCAGATCAGCCCATTCAAATTTATGAGAAGATTGTGTCCGGCAAGGTAAGTTTGTGTGTTTTCACAAACACAGTTGTTTGCCTTTGCAGAACCTGTATTTTGGTGGAGGACATGCAGAATTTACTGGCTACTAGACAGCAATTTGGAAAGAACATAGAAAAAGTGTGTAATGTCCACTTCTCAACAGCTTTGATTTGAAAATCAAAGTTTTAAAAATCTGTTCCCTACCTTCAAATTTAAAATGGCAATTACTAAATTTACAGACATGATGGTATTATATCCCTTCATGCTTGGACTGAAATGATCTGACTATTAACAACTACTTAGCTGTATGCTTAATTTGCCTAGCTATTTTCTAGAATTTTTTTGTGGTTTTTGAGAAGCTCTGAAGGGTTTCCATCATTTCTAGTAGGTCTCTTTACTTCTGCAGTCATGTAGTTCAAGACATGTCTAATGTTCTGTTTGGTTTTCATTGTTACATAAAATTTTCAAAAAGTGTTTTCGATGTTTCCCTTTTGTATTTAATTAATATCTCTTACCTTTGGTACCAAATGGCACCAAAATGTACCCATTCTGTGTCTTCTGCCAACCAGTGTTGTCTCTGTGTTTCTTTGTGCTCACTTGCTTTGTTACAGTTGCTGTCTCCCTTGTCCCTTGGTAGACACACGCTGTGTTGCATCCCAGGTACCTCTCTACTTCTCCTCAAGGGCGGTACCTCAGCAGGCCTGGCTGTGCTGCCCTGCACTGAGATTGATTCTTTTTTAAATCAAGAAGGTTATTGCTCTTTGAAAGGCTTTAATACTGTGAACCTTCAGCTGTTTCGATGAATATATGGGAATTAATTTACAAACATCTATTTTTAAAGAAATCTTTTTCTTCTAAGCTAAAAGAACAAAAGTTGGGCAATTTTGCAGTTTTATGTAATTGGCTTGACATCTGTACTGTTAGATCATCTACCTTTTTTACTGAGTCCATGGATGGATGGCTGCAGAAACAGCACTGGACGTGAGCTCTGGAAACTCTTAACATTCAGTCTTCAGCTAGCAGTTCTTCAGCTAGCTTCAGTTGAGGTCTTTCATTCTACCTCATTCTCTTAGTTCTCTCCTTAAAAATGTGAGTTAATATTTCCTTACTTCTCAGTGGTCTAGGTATTATAGTCATTAAAACCTGTTAATTTCTCATAATGTACAATAGAGCTATATTGATTGGTGATCTGAAGCAGTGTCCTTGATAATTAAACTTCTTGATTTCACAACATGTTTTTATTTTAAGTAACTCCATGTTCTGTATTTACATCATAATGGACCAGCTGAATATAGGGAGTGTCAAACACTGAGACTGTGAGGATGCCAAATATAGGTTTCTGCCTGTCTTTTTCCCTTCTTTCTCTCTGCCATCTCAAATGGTGTCAGTAGATCATTTGCTAGTAAAATCCTTTGTAATTATATCCCAGGAATCATCTTCAAATATCCTTTAGCCAGGTTTGAATAAATGGCAAGTCACTCGCATGCAATCTTCAAATAGTGCTGTGTTATATAAGACTTTTGATCTTAGTGCATTTAGTTACCAGACAGATTGCAGTACAGCACGAAGTTCCAGACTGACTTTTCATATATGATTGCTGAATGTACAGTTATTTCAGAGGATGCCTATATATTTATATGCTGTATATTTGCTGCACTGTACTGTATCTCCCATGTGTGCATATTTATAATATAATCTAAAAATTTATTCCTAGAAAATAGTTCAGTATGTCTTGAGATGATGTTGTGTTGATGAGACACTAACTTAAGTTAAACTTGGCTTTTATATCACTATTACATTAAATTAATATTTTACCCACTAGAAACTTTCAGCTCAAGAAATGGTAGATGGACGAGGTAATGCTGTTGATAAAGGCTCTTTGAAACAGAAGTACATGTGCAACGATAATAATCTCTCACTTCATGCATTCCTACTTGATTTGGTTTTAGAGGAAGGATAGAAAATGGGCCTACTGTTGCCTTTTGTATGAAGTTGTTTCACTTCACAGGGAGAAGAATCAAATTTGTATAATATTTTTTAATGTTGTGGGTATATAATTTTAGGTGAGGTTTCCATCACACTTCAGTTCAGACCTAAAGGATCTTCTAAGAAATTTACTCCAGGTAGATTTGACCAAACGATATGGAAATCTCAAGAATGGTGTAAATGACATAAAGAATCACAAGTGGTTTGCAACTACAGATTGGATTGCCATTTATCAGAGAAAGGTAAGACTCTTCCTGGTCAAAACTATTACAGGTCCTTAAGGGGTTGAAGTAAAATTTCTAATTATTTGGTTTTTTGGTTTTTTGGTTTTTTTTTCCTAAATCTATCAATTTAAACTGAGAAAAGGTAAAAATAGTTTCATCTTTTAAGACTACAAAGGATATGTATTGATTGATTATGTTTGTTTCTTATTGGTATTTTATCCTGGACCTCTATGTACATTCATGTTCTCTTTATCACGTTGTTGTGCTTTAGTCTATTTCTGGATTATCTCAGAATGAGCCATCTCCTGCCTCTCTTGCTTTTCATTTAACCCCTGCTATAGTGGCATCTATAAATACTCCTCCTCAGCAGAGAGGAATCTGTTCTCCTTTCCAACCAGCTCCTAGCAGTCAGACTGTGCTTCAGAGTGGAAAAACTCCAGCCAAAGCTGGAGCTCTTCTTTTTTTTTTTCTCCTAAAGGAATGTGCTTCCTCCTTCTTGCTTGGAGTTTTTGTCTCCTGACGCCATGCTTTGATTGACTGCAGTTCCATAAGCTGGGAAGAGCTGAATGCTTTTTTTTCCTGACATCTTAAGAATGGTTTTCTAGTTCCTTGATCAACACAACTGGTAATGGGGTTTTTGGAAAATCCATTCCCAGTCTGCACTGGGCTTTGGCGCTGCATAAGAACAAAAGCAACAGAGGCAATTGAGAGTATTTTCAGTGTGTGAACAGCCATTAATGTATCTTTTAGAGGGCAACATATTTGTGCTGCCAGGATGAATGAAGCAGAACTGCCAAAAGGGATGAGGATGATTATAATTCAGTCTAGGTTCCAGTAGCTCCAAAGCTCCCTCTCCTTTTGAATGTAGAGGCAAAGTCAAATATTTGTAGATTAGTGAGTTAACTAGAAACAGAATCCTAAGAAATTATTCACTTAAATGCAACCTCTGAATTCTTGGTTTTTCAATACACAACAATAGAAGACTAAAATTGGTGTTGTCCCAGAAGAAGCAGGTGGAGAAATAATTTTGAGTCTTGATATTGGAAAAGGGCTAGAGATAAATGATAATATTTTTAAAAATTGGTTTGAATTTGAAACACTAACAGTCTTAACTATAGAGGCATGAACTTGCTGCTTGTAACAGCAGTTATTTTAAAGGCCAAAGCTAAATACTTACAATAGTATATAAAAAGAAACTGGTTGTTTGTCTACACAAATGTGACAGTACAGTTGTTGAATTATCCACTAATGTATTAATTACTAGTAGACAGGGTACAATTAACACATCCTGTATTCCTTGCATTAAGTATAGATATTTTTAAGAAAATATTCCCCATTGCCAATTTGTAATTATTGTTCTTTGGTTTCTTAATGTCTGTTTGCTAGGCGGATTTATGTGCACCAAGTTTCATTTGCTGGTATGCTCTTTGTGGACACTCAGACCCCATAATATTAAAATCAGATGTTTTGATACTGTGCTAAATATTCTTAGCATTGCTAGTGCACTGCTGTAGAGAATTACTTTTGCAGAAATAAGAAATACTTTAAAATGTTAACAAGTAGTACAGTCAGAATAGCTATTACAAGATTTAAAGGGTTGTGAAAACTGATGCTGAATAAGCTTGGAGCTTTTAATTATAAGGAATAAATCCTGTAATACTCAGGATATGAAACAACAGCATGCATTGTAATATTACTTAAGCAGTCATAGAAATACAGCAATAAACTTTGGGCTTATACTAGCTTTTCACAGGAGCTGTTACCACAGCATGTATTCTCCTGAATAAACATAGTGTTCCTTGGCAGCTAATGTCATGTGAATAATTTTTCTTTTTTATTTTTTTTTTAATTTAATGCTACAGCCATAAGAAACCAGTCAATTACTTAGGATTTCTGATATGATCAAATCTTGTTTTCTTTGTGTGTTTATAGCTATTTATTAACATAGTGCCTGATAATATGGTTGTACTTAGGGCCAAAAAGGTATTTCCACTATAAGCTGGTGTTATCTCCTGCAATCTCTTTTTAGTGATTTCCTTGGTGAAGGTAATAAGAAGAAGTCTGATGTGTCTCATTTGACAGCATTCTAAAATTCCAGTAGTAAATAAGATATTTTCTGTTCTCTGAGTTTTGCTGTAAGAGAGTAACTGAAAATCAATTTAAGAAGACACAGAGACAGAAATTCAGATAATTTTTAAAAAGAGATTGGACATGGCCCTTAGTGCCATGATATAGTAATTAGAGTTGGATCAGGGGTTGGACTTGATGATCTTGGAGGTCTTTTCCAACCCAATCTATTCTATGATTCTATGATTCTATAATGGTAAATGTGTGGCTTTATAGGGTACCTGTGTACACAGGCTGTGTGTTCAGTCAGGGTAAATCACCAAAACGCGTATATTGTTTTAGAAACATAAGGATACACATGTGACAATTGCACACACAGAGGCAAAAGTTAAGTGTTATTTCTTGGGGTGTATAGTGGTATTGCCCAAAGTGAACACAGTATAATTTGTATTAGTCCGTGCTGTACCTCTTTAATTTCCTGATTTACACACACAACACATCCCCACGACCAGCAATCTACCTGGTTGCACAGTGTGATGTGATCCTCTGCCTCAGCTGGAGCTGTGCCTGCCCTGGTTAGTTCTCCCCACTGTGCTGCTCTGGCACACTTACTGCTTGCGATGTTTGGGGGAGGGACACTTGTCTGATTACTTTGCATTTCCAGGTTTAAATTTGCATCGCTTCCATAATTTTGTTACAATTTTGCTTTCCTTACGGTACAGCCCTTTGAGTGACTCCTTCCTGTCATTTCTTGTGCCCCACTGGGGCCTTTTTGAAAAGACTTTCACCTCTCACTTATGGTTAAGTAGGCCTAGGAGGAGCTTTGTAGGAGAGGCAGAACAAATTCTTTTGCACTCGTATTAGGGAAGTTTTTATTTGGAAATAGAGGGTCACTGGTAAGTAGAAAGGAGAGGGGTTCCAAACTGCCCTAAGATTTTTGTGTAGTGTTGATGGCAATCAGTCTACTCTTCTTCTGCCATGACTATGCTGGGAGCTGTGCCACAGAGCTGATGAGTTGAAGGGAGTGGGATCGCCTCTGCAAGGAGAGAACTAAACTTTGTTTTGAAGTGGAAGTAATTTTTTTATGATGTTTGTCAGTGAGGTATAAGTATTTTTCAACTTAGATTCACACATCTGGAGGCCTGTACCTTCTTAGGCTGGTTCTATTTATGTGCCACAACTTCAGCCTGTAATACCTGATTTCTTGGCAGGATTTGAGGATAAATGGGAATATCGCTGTGCTCATTATCACAATGTTAAATCTACTGGTATTAGGCCAGTAACATTTCATGTGCTTTTTTGTGTCTCCCACCAATACAGGTAGAAGCTCCATTCATACCAAAGTGCAGAGGTCCTGGAGATACCAGCAACTTCGATGACTATGAAGAAGAAGATATTCGTGCGTCTCTAACAGAAAAATGTGCAAAAGAATTTGCTGATTTTTAGTAGGAGTAAGAGGACAAGATGACATCAGGGCTCACATTGGGATCTTTGCACTCTGTTAACAGATGAGGTGGAGCTGAGACCATCATATGTCAAAACAGTTACCTAGTTACTTCATTCCACAAAGCTGACTGAGGTCTTTATTGCCATCTTCCATGTGTGCAGTTTGCACCAACCCTTCTAACTAGGCACAATTAAGCAAGCACTGTTTGTGCAGTAACACAGAATAATAGACCACTTTCCTACTTAACTTTGGTTTCTGTCGTTCTTTGTTTCTGTGTATTGTTCATTTTCCCCCTTTGAAATGAAGTAGTTTTTTACCCAAGAATGCTCCATTTTATTTTGAATAATGTATTATTTGTGTGAGTGAAATGGAAGGTGTTGCGGCTAGTGTGATTTAGACTGAAGTGAAAGATAAATGTTGCTTCTAGTCTGTGCCAGCCAATAATTCATGTCTGTCTTGTGTCTGATGCTACAATTTATAATAATTTTTTAGTAGCTCAGACTAAACCTAGCCAACATTTTTAGCATTTTTGAAGGTAGTATTTATCGCCATATAAATGTCTGCTAAATTAACTTAAAAACATTTCTTCCTGGAGGCTGACCAAAATTCAGTAGAATCAATTGGATGGCTTAAGTAGGGGACAGTAGCTAGATCCCGTGCCTTGGTTTTCTACATCCCTGCAGTTTTTTGTCACTGCCTCCTTCCTTCATATTTCCCATCTAGGCAGTAGGTAAGTTGCCATAACCAGACTGTACCATGGAAAGCTTACAGTCCCGTGAGAGGAGTAATTCCACCTGGTCTGGATTTTGGACCATATTAAACCAAGTCAACTTACCAGCATTTCAGTTGGCAGATATGAAATGGCTTTTTTAAGATCAAGAACCCTAAACTCTTAAAGGAAGTTTTGGTCAGTATTGTAGAGAATATGATTCATTTTGATTCACTTTGTGGTTGTTTTTTTTTTAAGTAGCCAATGTCTGGGCTCCCAAAGTATTCCTTGTTTCAAGCCTTTTTTGATTCAAAAGGCATCCATTAAAATAAGAACCATCATGCCACAAAAAGCAAAATGCGCTCTGCCATTAGCTGTGAGAAACAAATGGTTTAGCAAATGCAAAATATTGTTCTAGATGCATCGCTGGATGAACACGGTTATTTTTTTGTTAGCTGTTAAGAGTAAGAGGTTATTGCCAAGTTTTTATTCTGGTATACTATATTAGTAAACTGAGGATGGAGTACTGCTACAATCATTTTCTTTTTAATTACAGCACTTCATTCATGAAGAAAAGAGAGAAAGTTTAAAAACTGCAACAGCTGAATTTATTTTAGTTGCGTTGTCTTTGTTTCTAACCTACTTTCTTTCAATCAACCAGAATGTATGGTCACACAGATACAGGTATTTGGGTTTAATTATGTTTTGTATACTCTCACCAACTGACTTAAAAGATATTGCTACCATGTGCTAGCTTTGGGCACTTCTACACATTTATTTCAATGTTAATAATCAGCGGCTCAGCACTTTTTTGGGGGTTGCTTTTAAACTTATTCATAGTAGTTTTATTTGTACACTTGGTTCTGGCTGTCTCAGTGACCTGTCTAAAAACAGCACATCTAAACAGTTTAAACTAGACACGTTTTATGATAAATTTACATGGATACGAGGATGAATTGTTTTTTAAAAAACTGAGCTATATTGATACATAGCCACTGTATTTGTTTGAATGCCAGTGCAAATCAACAGCTGGTGGCATTCCTTCCTTTTAATCTATATGACACTCCCTAAAGAAAAGCCTTTGTAGACATTTTACAAAAGAGTATGAAATGTACCACCCAACGTTCCCTGTTTAGGTTGTTGAGCATTTTTGCACAACGTCATTAGGAGGCTGACACTGAATGCAGTCTTTGTCCACCCATATTTACATACGTGCAAGAAAAGTATAAGATACTTTGCTGTAGCAAATTTTATGTAACAAAGATATATCGTCACATTAATAAATTTAAAGAAATCCTTTGTATGAAAATGTTAAAATCTTTTGTATTTCATTTAGACCAAGGACATGCTGCTGTATGCTAGCTGTATGCGATAAATTCTACAGTAACTTTGTTGTCGTTTATGAACTTTAAAGATTTTAATAAATGTTGGAGATCACAATTTGATTCTGTTATGATTTTAATTTTTAATCATTGCATTTATAATTCTAGAAAGGTTCAGAGATTTTTCTGTTTTGTAAAATACTGTAATCATTCATCTTGCGTGTACAATAAGACAAAAGTCTAGGAAATTGGTTCTGACGTGTCTGTTTGATATCCAGATTAAATTCTACATGGGCATAAGTGGAAAAGTCATCATAATGCCATGATATTCTGCTATTTTTTAATTTTATGAAAATCCTGTCAGCAAGTTAAACACTTTTCCAATATGGCATAATAGACTTCAGTATGGAAATGAGATTCTATTTTGGAAAAGGAGGGGAAGTGTGCAATTTCCAAGGCATTAGTGAGTACATTTGACAATGTGAGTATTATACAACCCTCTCATTTAAACACAGTCATGAAATATAACTACAGAATATTATGTTACCTGTATTTAATTTGAAAAATCCTTTTCACGATATGGAAAAATTGTATATCTATGACAGTAGAAGCTTGTTAATTTTACACATTTGAGGAATTAAGTGTTGAGCTATATGGTATATTTTAATTGTACTCTAGTTGTATGTAACTTTCATTTCCAACATAAAGGATTGTATCTCATTAAGTAAATTGCTTTTTTATTATCTTGTCAGTTGCATTAAAACCCTTATTTTTAAATCCTTTAAAGTATTTTACTAATTTTTGCAAATAATTAGATGTTTTTAAGTGCTGCAATAGTGTGCAATATAGTAAACATTTATATACAGAAGTGCAAATTAAATTATGTACAACACTTGTGCTGCTTCTTTGTGAATCAGAATGTTGTATGATGAGAGTTGTTCCACCTCCCCACACACTGCAAGTAGGGTTTGAGAGCAAGAGGAAAAGGTTGTGATACCTACCCACACGTATGAGTCGGGGGCACATTAAACTTTACACTAACTAGGGTGTTTGGAGAAGGTGATGTGGAGAACATTAAAGGCACTATGACAAGTCTTGGACTTTTTAGACAATCAAAAGTAAGCAGTCATTAGCTTCAGTATTGTTTGTCTTCATATTATTTTCATTTAGACTCAATGCTTTTTATTAAAGATAATTGCCTGTTTTTAAACTGTCTGCAGATCCCGCTGTACAAACTTTGTGCTGTGTCTCATTGTGCTGTGAAACAACTGATAGAAGTAAAGACTGTTCATGGTCTTGGCATTGTCTGTCTTGAGGCTTTTTCTGCAAGTGGTGTTTGGAGAGGCCCTGGTACCTGCTCTGGAATGCAGCTCCTCCTCCTCCCGCTGCCTGAGCTGAGCTCTGGCTTCTGCTGCTGTGCAGCCGCTCGCTGCGGGTTTGTGTTCTTGGTTCGTAGGACTACTGCTACATTACATTTCAAAGGCCTTTGTGCTGTTTCTAAAGCTGAGCTAAAATACCTGCAAAAGTATGCCTTCTGCTTTTACTGCCACTCCCATGCAAACACTGCATGTTGAGCCACAGATTCGAAAGTGTCATTCAAATGTGTTGTTCTGATTTGCTGCGTGTGAGGAAGACTTATCCCAGATCAGAATTTGAGAACCATTCCATAAGAAAATGGTAAAAGGACAGTTCCATTCTCCAGCTGGGGTATATATAGCTGATCTGGATGTGTTTGATGATTAAAGACAAAAATAAAGAGTTTGACCAGACAGTTTTACAAGTGTGGGTCTTGCACACATTTTAAGAATGTTTTTAGTTGGAGGCCTGAGGAATCCACTGATTTGAGTCCTCTGACATAAAATACAAGTGTCTAACATCAGACTGGGCAGTAAAAGGGTTAGAGCTCCACAAGGATGTTTAAATGACTTATAGATAGTAGATATTTGTCATCTTACATAGGGATTAGGTGAGGTGTTGGATTTTTTTTTTTTAGTATTTAGGGCAAGATATGATCTCAGGATATCTTCCCTAACTTCTGAATTTGATGATGAGTAAAAGTATTCATTAAATCTAAGGTCTAGTCACATTTTTACTTTTTTTTGTGTTGGTTTGTGGTTTGGATTTGGGGAGGGGTTTTATATTACAAAAAGGGATGCCTGTCTGAAGGAACTTGCATATATTGAAAATGTGTTTTATTCTTATAGTTGACTACTACAAAAAGCTCTTATCTCAGTGGGATAACAGCAGCTTGAGGTTTCCATTAAATCTTTGGGATGAGTTCCCAACATTGTGTTTCAAAGCCAGTAAAAATTCCTTTGGAATCCTTACAGCCTCGTTATCCTGTTCCCTCCCTCAGAAGGTCAAATATAAATGTCTTTGCAAAAATTTATTTCTAAGAATTGTGTTTATGTAGCTCTTTGTTTTAAAGTTTAAAAGCAACCCAGTGACAAACTTGCATGTTTCTTACTAGTCCTCAGTTTATAAGGTTTAGATTTTGATAGATCACACAGTGGCAGTGTAGTGTCTGATTGCAGATGCTGCTTTCTGTGTTAGAAGCAGCCCGGCTGCAGGTGAGGCATCTGTGCCAAGGACGAGATAAAGGCTCTGCCCAACCTGTGTACAACGTTGCAGCACAGAAGTTCTTTAGGATGAACAGTTGTAGTTGGAAGGAGTTTGAAGACAGAGGTCAGGGATCTGTTCCCATACATAGGCAACCACAATAAGATGTTTTCCTTTGCTGGGAGGTAGTCATCAGAAACATCCTCCTTTGCCTTTGCTTCCAGGGTGCTGTGGAAGATTGGAAAGGACACAGCTGTAGCTATGTTGACACAAATGGAGCAAGGTCCAGCAACCAGGTAGACTGGTTCATTCTGAGTGTGTCCAGTCAGTTCCAGGAAAAATTACTGGTGATTAGGGCAACAAAGAGAAAACTTGAGTGTTGGAAGGCTTGATTAACTGTCTGAAAATCTTCCCCCACCAAGACAATTTGTTTCAATTTAAACAAGTAATCCAGCACTCCATTTGCATTTAGTGTACACAGCAATATCACAGGGACTGCCTTCTACCAGAAGTATTGCTCTTTACTGTGTATCTGCATTGCTACTTTGAATGTGTATGTAGTTATGTAAGTTACAGTGCAAGAAAATGAATGCTTGATTGGGACGTCCTTTCGATTTTTTCCATCTTTACCCTCATCTTTCTACTTGATGTTTTCATGAGTAGGAATATAGGTGTCAGGACTCTGTTAACCATAGGTAACACTGTGGATTATAAATGTTTTCAGCTGCTCCCCTAAAAAATTATAATGTGTGTCCCCGGTTAATATATTATCTTTATATCCCATTTTTCCCTTGCCATATACATCAGAAAGTATGCATCTGGCAGGCTTGCTGACCAGTGGAAAAAACTAAGAGGAACTGAGCAGGCTGCCTTAGTAAAGACATCATGTACCAGAAGGAGGATTATGGTGGCAGAATCAGTCTGAGGGCTGTGTGATATAACAGGTACGTTGTGATATGGTTTGTTAATGCCAGCATGTTAGTTTGTGTCCAGAGTGGCTCTACTGCTATAGAAGTACCTGCTCTGTGCTTCAGGACGTAACCCAGGGCTTGGCTCCAGGAGGGTATCCGTATCAGAGAGCCATCTCCCGTGGCCAATGGGAGCTCATGCATTCTGGAAAGGAATTTCACATCAGCAAGGGACGTTTCCTGCCAAGAGAAGTATTGCCATGAAGGTTGGGGGCAAAATATCTCCCTGAAGTCTCATAAACTTAGTTGGTCTCTTTTAAAGCCACACAAATTTGAAATGAATGAAAATGCTTTTTCACTTGGGATTTGTACAACCCGAAGCTATGCTTTAGGGCATTCCTAATATTATGTCTGAAGTTCTTAAACTGGTCTTAATTCTGCAACTACTTATTAACTAACAGAACTTAACTCTGACTTTTCTTGAACTTTTTTTTTTTTTTTTAATGTTCCAGGTTACTACAAAATTCTGTAAACTAAAATCATGAAACTAGATGATCTTTAAGGTCCCCTCCAACCCAAAGAATTCTATGATTGCAGTTTTACTAGCTCTCTGTATCCCACACTTGCCAGTAGATACCACATTTACATGGTGTGGAACACTGTGTGTAAGAAATATCAGCTGCAGAGCACATTAAGAACAAGAGACTTGGAAAATATTTAAGAGCAGTAGGGAATGAGAAATTTGGACTGTGCCTGTCAGTTAATACATGCAATACCAGCCATGAATATTTATTCTTTATGTATTAGTAGATTTTATCATCACCATTGGTCTACCCTGGCCTCCAATCGGGAGGCCTGGAGACACACCATCTATAACGCTGCTGCTGCTTTTGAGAACACACGCAGGATCACTCTCGAGGAGAAAAGACAACGCAGAAAGAATCGCGTCTTGTCTGTATCACCTGGGGAGTCTTTCTGCTGTGCCTTCTGCAACCGGACTTGTCTATCTCGCATTGGCCTTTTTAGCCATCAGCGCGCTTGTAGCAAGCGTGGGTAGAGCCCTTTCAAATCTTCGTTCGCGAAGCCTAGCCATGATGATGATGATGATGGAGTAGATTTTACCTTTAAATCCTTTTAGAGTTAATAACTGCAATTTTTTTTTCACTGGTTTTCATATCAGCATCAGCAAAAAACCTTTTTTTGACACTAATTTGAACAAAATTATTTTTTCATAATATGTATTATTGCACAAACTGTATGAAAATTTCACTTAAAATTCCTGATGGATAAATCCTGTTTTTATTAGAAACTAGAATTGGGGGAGGGGGAGAGGTGTCTGTTTTAAGAGCACACAATCACACTGCTGTATTATGTGCACTTGAAAGTTCAGAAATAAGACTGCAGCAAAGACAGTCACCAGTAAAAATTGAAAAGTGCTCCTAAGATGATTTATTAAATAAATAATATTTATAGTAGAGGGTATAAATTTTTGAGAGTTGAATGCTGATCAAATTTAGATGTATCTACTAAACATATTTCATGAACATATTTCATGAAACCACTGTTCATATTTTTCTGAATCATGTGACCACCACAGCAGTCGGAGAGAAAATAAAGTTACAGCACACGTGCTCTTGAGAGCACCTCTGATCAGAGTCTCATCAACCAGTTTAAGAGCTAAGCAAATTTTTAAATGGTCAGTTTAACTGTTTTAACCTTAATGCAGCACTGTTGAATGCCATGTCTCCTTATGTTTGGGTGTGAGTATCTGGTTTTGGTTTATATCAAAGGGGAGAGCAGGGGGGAAACCAGGGTCATCTAATGCGTGTCTGAAACATTTACAGCACTGTAACAGTGGTTCCTTTCTTGCAGTCAGTGGTCAATTTTGGAAACCACTGTCCACCAAATAACGTGGGCATCCTTTGAGCACAAAGGATTATATTTACACACAAAGCCCAAGGTTCTAATTTCTTTTGGTTTCCTTACAGTTCAGTGCCTATGAGCAGATAGAGCATGCATAGTGGCACCAGTACTAGAGCTGCAGAAAATGCCTTTCTCTGGATCTGGGGTGCTTTCAGAGGGCTGAGGAGCAGCACCTTCCAAGGCTGATCAAATTATGAAATGCTGTGTTCTGGTCTTACACACCTGGCATCAGTTCTGGCAGTTATACCAAAATAATAGCACGGAAAGGAGATGCCAGTATTTACTGGTTGCTTTAAAAATTTGGATGTTTCTTGACAGGCAGGTTTTTGACTCCTGGGAGAAAAGCTTCCCAGAAAAGTGGGGAAAAAAACTAGCACTAATGTCTTAATCTAGTATTTGAAATATACTTGAGATTTCTGGTTGTTTTTTATTGACTGTTTTTTGTTTATAACTGTGGTTTTCCATTCCTGTGTGCATCAGCATGTTGTGCTTTTCATTTGCCTTGCTTCATACAACCAAAGTGTTACCTTTCGGATTTCCCATAGATATAGCAGCTATTTCACGGAGATGTCTGAGCTCTGTTTATATAAAATACTTTTATTAGGATGGATTCTGTTTAACAGTGTTGGTATGTCATATGAATGTTTTTTATAAGCTTGCTACATTATTACAAACTGGGCAAATGTGTGGCAGGTCCTACTGCTAGTATGATCACAGTGAGCTGTGTTTTTTACAATGATTTTTTAATATGAAGTATAAGCTTTAAAATAAGAAGGGTTTATGTCTGGACAGAAGCTTATTAAATATGAGCAACTCCCACAATAAGAAGTTGCACAACAAAGTAAGTAGGGCGGGAAATTCTCAGTGAAGTGGATATAATTCACGTGCAGGAAGATTTATTTAAGCAGTTCAGTCCTGGAAACAAGGAAGCAAAAGCAGAAAGGTATCGCTGGCCTTGCATTGCAGTCTCCCCATCAGGACAAACCAAGAGTCTTTGCCCCCCTGCCTTGTCAGTAAGTGTGGGCCATGCTTCTCCCCCCAGGCTTGCGGCCAGGGAGCTGTGTCGCTGACTCAGCCTGTGCATCTGCAGAGCTCTGAACCCTGGCACTGGGCCTGATACCCACAGCTTTGACAGAAGTTTTTGCACATCTACAGATCCTGGGTTTTACCTTGTAAGAACGTACCTAGGTAACTGCATGAAATGTAAATTGAGGCTGACTGGCTCTTGTGCTCTGATCTAGCACTGCACACTTAATTGCCTTGGAAATGAATGCCAGGGTGGTACCAAGTCACTCTGCTTTATTCTAGCCACAGGTTTTCTGCCTCCCTTCCCTCCACACTTATTTAACATCAGTGCTATCTTTAGCCTTTTGTCTTTAGGCTTTATGCAGAACTTCAGAGCAACATGACAATGCTCAGCGCTGCAGAAAACCCTGGCAGGTCAGAAGGGGACTCTGAAGAAGACATAAGTTTTTTGGGGAATCTTCCTGGCCAAGGCAGGAATTGAAGAGAGGCGCTTCATTGCTGTACTCCTCGGGCAGACTAGAGTTCCTTGATGGGAACTGTCCCTGATTCCTATATATGCAGTGCTGAAGTAGGGAAGGGAGAGCAGGACAATGGGTCCAATAGCTGTTGATCCTGTGCAGCAAGGTAAGTGTCAAAATCCTATTCCATCAAACTGTAAAGACACTGGACAGGAGTTGAAAAGACCTTAACTGAGGAAAGACAGTTTTCTGAGAGTAAAGTGTTGGAAAGGTGCAACCTGGACCGGTAACAGGGTTTTTGTGTCTGAGTATACTGTAGTTGCCAGGGACTTTGGAAAAGACCCTTAATTTCTCTAAGTAGTCCAAGGCTGTCTAAAATCATCTGGCGGACAAGCTGACATCTACACCCATGTCACTTCCACCCCTGCGACAACTTACTTTAAGACAGCCTGTGCCCCAGCCTTGATTCCCCTGCCTCCAGTGCTGTGCGTTACGAGGAGCTGATCATTTGTCGCTGCCAACACGCTCAAGTGAAATGTCTCCGCAATTGGAGCATATCTGGTTCGCTTCCGTGCTCACGGTGAGCCACAGCCGCTCCCCGACAGCCCCGGGATGTCTCCCCGCGCACGCAGAGCACCAGCGGCCCGTCCGGGAGCGCCCCGGGGCCGTGAGGGGAAGGTCCCGCTCCCCGCGGACCCCGCGCCGCGGGGAGAGCGGCCCGCTGAGGAGGGCCGCTGAGGAGGGCCCGCTGAGGGGGCCCGCTGAGGGGGGCTCGCTGAGGGGGGCCCGCTGAGGGGGGCTCGCTGAGGGGGGCCCGCTGAGGGGGCCCGCTGAGGGGGACGGTGAGGGGGAGGGCCCGCTGAGGGGGCTCGCTGAGGGGGCCCGCTGGGGACCGCTGAGGGGGGCCCGCTGAGGGGGCCGCTGAGGGGGAGGCCCGCTGAGGGGGCCTGCTGAGGGGGACGCTGAGGGGGGCCCGCTGAGGGGGGCCGCTGAGGGGGCTCGCTGAGGGGGGGGCCCGCTGAGGGGGCTCGCTGAGGGGGGCTCGCTGAGGGGCTCGCTGAAGGGGGCCTGCTGAGGGGCTCGCTGAGGGGGGCCCGCTGAGGGGGCCCGCTGAGGGGGGCCGCTGGGCGCTGAGGGGGCCGCTGAGGGGGCCGCTGAGGGGCTCGCTGAGGGGGGCCGCTGAGGGGGGCTGCTGAGGGGGGCCTGCTGTCAGGGGCGCCGTCCTGTGGAGGGCACCGGGCGGTCCTTGGTGGCAAAGAAATACCTGTTCTATACAGGGATACGGCCCGTTCTGCTCTGCATAAGGCTAGATTATGGAGGGGGGCTTCCCTCAGTGGGAAACCACGCAAGTCCTGCATTGTTTCCTCATTCAGCTTTCCCCGTGAACGTGTTTAACCATGTTTTTACCCAGGACACTGGAATAAGGAAGGTTTAAAGGGCTTTATTTAGCTCTAGGGGAGCTGAAACTCAGTACCCGCTGCACAGCTAACAGGGTGCTACACTCTCTTTTGCCACATGTGTGGTGCATTTTGTCTTCATCTACTGTTTTCATTGTCAGGGACAAAAAAATGATAGGTCTTCTGTAGAAAGCTGCCCTTTCCAGTACCCAGAAAACAGGGTCAACTGCTGTCCGATAGCTGCACTGAGCTCTGTGTGTTTCCCCCTGTGTGACAGCAGAAGGTGAGACATAGGTTACCAACCCTAGTCTCACTTTGTTCCCTTGCACAGTTTGAAAACGTGTTGGTTTTTTTTTCCAGAAGTAGGATGCAAATAGTCAAACGAAAGACTAATTCACTTTTCTGCTTTGTCTCCCTCCAGACATAATTTCATTAGAATTAAACTACCTTACCCCAATGAATGAAAACACAAGCCACAGATGATATTCCACATTGAATTTGTCCACAACCCATTTTATTAAAATTCCTCTCTTTGTTGTTCAAGGTCCTCAAGAAGGAATGCGTGTACTCTGTGAGCCTCACTTTAAATACTCAAAGGATTAATTGAAGAACATGATGGAAGGAAGGGGAAAGTGTGAGTAAAATAACTCGTTTATATTTGTATCCTCAAATGTCAGTTCATTACCAAAGTTAAAAACCAGCTGATACAGAAAACTCATGATGGCCTCATTCAGAATGCTTATTTCTTGAGACAGAATAGCCTTGCTTTGCTTACTTGTCCAACAGAAATATGCCATGTTTTACAGTATGCTTTGGGATGTGAACTAAAGAGGGTTTTCTTTAGGGTGCACTACATTTAGTACTCTATTTATCTTGTTTATCTGCATTTATTTAAATCCCAAAGGAGTGAGGACTGTCACTGCTCTCTGTTCTTAATACTTCTGTCGATGTTTGAGTGCCATTATTTGCAGTTTTCACAACCTTTGGTTATTTATTTGACAGCATACAAGTCAGACAAAATGAAGTGGTCGGGGAAGTCATGTCTACAGTCCTTTGCACAAAAGTCCAGTTTTCTGGTGATTTTAGTGCTCGTAACTGTGTCCGGTCAGCAGTTAGGTGATCTGGATCTCGCTGCAGCCAGGGTGCAGTAAGCTTTGTCTGGGAGTGAGACAGATGTACGGTGCCTGGGACAGGCCCATGTGCCTGCTCTGCTGGCAGCAGGCTCTGTCTGTGCCGGCTGGGGCACTCCTGTCACAGAGCTCTGCAGAAATCTCTAGGTTCTGTATGAATCCACAGGTAATTTGTAATGTCCCCCTTGCCTCGCAGCAAACAACAAGGTGTAATTTGAGTGGTTTGACTCAGAAGGAAACTCTGTAAGTAAAGCATTCCACAAATTCGAAGTAACCCAGGCTGTTAGGGATAGTGAAAAGATAACAGCATCTGGCTGGGACACAGCCCTGGCTGCAAAAGCCCATGTGTGGGGAAGGTGGGATGTGTTGGTTGGTATTCCTTGCTTAATTTCCCTGGCACTGACAGCATCTCGTCCATGTAATGCATCTGTGCCATTAGAAAACATGAAAAATTTTGAAGAATACATTAAAAAATAGCGTAATAAAAATAATTTTTAAAAAGTGCTGTTGCCAGATAAACTTGAAAACTTTTAGGTGGGATTTTATTGCCAGTGGGCCAGACCATGTCATTTGTAGGCACTTTGAGTTATTCCTTTCTGTACAGCAAATCCCGTGGGTACGGTGTCCTTATGAAATAAAGTCTGGAGCTTAGACCACTAACACATGTAGATGTCCCCGGGAATCGGTGTCTCTATCCAGGCCAAGCTTGCTGTCCACGTGCGTGTTGACTAACTCATTCTAGAAGTAATTTTTATTATCTTTATCAATTTTCCTGAAATCTGGCTGCTCCTATTTCCCACCTTGCGTAAAATCTCTTCGACTCGGTACTGCATCCTTCAGGTCCCGAACGGGGGAGCTGAGCGCTGCCCCGCCGTGCCAGCACAGCGCTGCCCGGCGCTGCTCGCGGCTGCCCTGCAGGTACGCCCTGCCGGAGGCTCCGCGCCCGCTCCGGCCCGCTCCGCGCCCGGCCCGGCCCGCTCCGCGCCCGGCCCGGCCCGCTCCGCGCCCGGCCCGCTCCGCTCCGCGCCCGGCCCGCTCCGCTCCGCGCCCGGCCCGCTCCGCTCCGCGCCCGGCCCGCCGATCCCGGATCCCCCGCCACCCGCGGAGCGCGGCGGGCGCGGCGCCTTTAAGGCGGGGGCCATGAGGCGGGCGGGCCCGTGTGGCGGGCGCGTCACGGGCCGGGCGGGGCCGCGCCCGCCGCCGCTCGGAGCCGCCGCGCAGCGCCCGCTGCCGCCGGGGGGGCGGGGGCCGCGGGCCGCGGGCTCCGGCGCTCCGCAGCAGCCGGGGACCATGCGCTGGTTTAGTTTCTCGTAGGTAGGTTTTTCTGCCTTGCTTTCCCCGCCCCCAGCCAGAGCTGACGATGCGGTGCAGGCGAGCGGGCGCGGGGGTGCCCGTGAGGTGGTGACCGGGTGTCACAGCCCCGGCGGGGGCTCCGCGGGACGTGCCCGCCCCGAGCCCGGGGGCGCCGGGAGCTGCGCGGCCGCGGTGCGGGGGCGTGCGGCAGGTAGTGTGGGTGTCACCGGCAGTCACCTCAGGTGAACCGAGAAGTGATTCGGGGCAAGACTTGAAGCTGCTCGGTCAGCGCTGCAGGAAGCATCTTTTCGATTAGTTTGTTACTGTTTTCTTGGTGCTTTGCGTGATGTTTAATAAAGGATCCTTTTTTTTTAACAACAGTGTTAATTGCTCTTCTCTATTTTTGCAAAGTTTTAGCTGAAGAGCATGATTTCCCTGTTATGTGCTTCCCAGAGCTTGTGCCGTTTCGCTGGCATCCATTAATGCTACACAGCGAGAACATCCTGAGTCCTTGGTCAGTTCTCTGGTGCTCTCTGAAACAGAAATGGCTTGCTTGAGAACAGAAGGGAAAGGCTCGGGTCGTTTCTGCATGTTTTGTGGAGTGGTGGAAAAAGCTGTGTGGTGAAAGTACTCCAGCACGCTGTGAGGAGGGAAATTAACTGGATTTTCTCTTGTGTCCTTCATGTGCTCCTTCCCTTTTTGGAGTTTGGTATACTATACTTATAAAAGAAGCTAGTGCAGGAAGGATGGTCTTATCGATAAGATACTGATGATAGATACCTCAGGAGTTTGGTGCTCAATTAGTAATTCTGCTTACCCGTTTTATGTTTGAGATGAGCAAAAATGACTGTGCTCATCTGTATCCCAGAGTCCCCGTTTGTAAAGCCAGGCTATGATTTCCAAACCTCTCTAAGGATAAGATCGTGTGTCTGTCTGGACTCCTCACAGGCTGACTCAAGGCCTATTAAGCTGTCTTGATACACAGCTATACATGGTCAATCTCCATGTACATGAATATATAATTTGATCAAAATTTTAACACTTTTAAAAAGGATCAAATTCCTTGATTTTCAGGCAATAAATATTTCTTGTGTTTGAAGCACAGGTCAACTTTTTTCTAGTTCATTAGCTCCTGTTGGCTTTGCCAAGCTTCTGAGAAAATCAGTCTTTGACAGCACTATTGCTCTCAGGTGGAAACATGCTTGTGTCCCTGTAGAATACTTGTTTCTGTTACATTATGTTGCTCTTGTCATAGTAGCAATAATTAAACACTGCTTTTTTTCCCTCCCTGTTAATCAGTTGCTGAGGTAAAAGAAGCCTCTATCCTCCCCATGCTAATTGTTGACATGGAAAACAAGGAAAATGGCTCTCTGGATGTCAAAAAGTAAGTGAATTCCTAGTGCTCTTTTTCTGTAAACCGCACATGGATTTTGAATGTAGTTTTCCTTTGATCTAATGCGATTGGCAATTGTGAGCATCTCCATCTTTGTTCATTTCAAACCTTCTCTGTTCTAAACTATTTTTATTGTATTTCAACTTTGAAATAGAAGAGTCTAGGGCACTGAGTTACTTAGAAGAGGTGTGCAGAAAAACTGTATAGCAGTGGAGGGATGTAGAAGCTTGTAACTTGAGTTAAGGGTACACCTTCCTCCATTAATTTTTTTCCTCTCAACTAGAGAAACTGGTAGTACTGTAACCAGCATTCTGCCTCTGCTCCCCTGCCTGCAGAGCCAATGCCTAATGGAGAGAAGTGTCCTGTGTGGAAATCTGCATTCTGTCTCATTCAGAAACACATATGCCCTGCTCTGCTGTCAGCCCACCTGTCTGGTGGCTGAGAAGTAGCAGCAGCAGCAGCATATCACTTCAGTGTCAGTTCTCTTCTGAAACAGATATTTTAAGCTGTTTCTTGGAGAAACCCTAAACTGCTGGGTTTTTACTTCAGACCTAGGGTGGGAATAAGACAAAGATACGGTGTGCACTGCTCTACTGTTTTCTTTTGTCTCGTAAACTGCAGGTTAAGGGATAGGTGCTGCTTTGTAGGCATTTACTTATCCTTAAAGGTCAGAAATTCTTAGATTAGGACTAGCAATTTTGAATGAAGCCGTGATGTGAGAAGTGAAGTTCTATGTGGAAAAATCTGGCCTTGCTGCTTTATGGTTATAGAAGCCATGCTGAGATAGATGTACACATATGCATATGTATTAAAAGAAAAAAAAACAAACAAACAACAAACCACAAAGAAAGGTACCAGAGTGAGTTCTTTGTCTGTCCTCTCGAACTGCAGCACTTCTGCGCAGCTGCAGCTCATTCTTTTCCTTCAGATCCCTTTACATAAGCCATCCAAGAAAACATGACAATGCTTAGGCTACCAGGCACTAGAGTAATATAAATAATAATAATAACGGTCACTTCAGGATGCTGATAAACACCTGATTATGACACAGCCTCAAAAGATCTGATGGCAGCCATTAAAATCAGCATCCTGCCCCTTCACTTGAGATGCTGGCTGTACCACACCAACATAAAGAGCATTTTCCTATTCAGTGAGTATGAATAGATTATCGTGTATGTCCCTCAGAAGCCACCTTCAGCTGACAGTCTGGCTTCTACAATGAGTACTCTGGTGGGAGGAGGGTGGCAGTCAGTGCAAGGACAGTTCACATTTAATCATTTTCCCTGAGGCTTCAGTGAAAAAGGCTCAAATACTGATTGCTAAGGTGGCTTTGTAGAATGGATGGGAAATATAATTAAACTGATCAGGGCTGTGGTTTCTAGATGAATGTATATAGTATGTTTGTGTGCTTATCTGCAAAGGAAGTATTTGACACTTTGTTGAAGTGGTTATAAATAGCTTGGATAAAATCTGTTTGTTCTCAGCTATGGCTTCTCAGACCTTGCTGCTTCTGCCACATGATGGCAATAAAGGCACAGGGACACTGGTGAAAAGCAGACAAGCCTAATCTTTATTCATTGTCAGTGCATCTAGTATCTCATGTCAAAGCCTAAAATGCCAGTCCTCTTAAATCCTTTTGCAGCATCCGGAATGTCAGGCATAAAGCAGTGTATGGCCAAGCTGTGGATGTTATGTATTCGCTTTCCTTGTTTAAAGAATAGAGCCATGTCAGCAGCAGGGCAAGGAGGAGACTAAAAGGTCTACAAGCCAAATGAGCATCTGTGTGGGTAGATGGGTTAAAATCCAGCCGGCCTCCAGCAGTCTGCCACATGCCTTCCAGTCCTCTGCAGCTGTAGCTGTGGAAATTGGCTCCACCTACGGTCCAGCATGATGCTATTCCTTGAGGAAGGAACTTGCAATTATTTCCTGCAGTTAGTTAATGACAGAGATAGAGCCCCTGAAGTTATTGCAGTTGGGCCTGGGATGGGGTTGGGCCAAGCTGTTGTTCCCTAGTGACAAAAGCTACAAAAAACCCCAACACACATGGGCTGATAAAAAACTGTGGGAAGGAGGGTTTGGGACTGTATTTAACTTGAAATTAGAATGTTTGGAGAAGCAAGCAAATCATAGTTAGGACGTATTTTTACGGATTGAACCTTTTATTTACTGTTTAGGAAGGATTAAGTTCTGTATCTCTTAGAGTTTTTTCTACTAATGAGTTCTTGGGATTTCGTTTGTCTATTTTTAAGTAAAGATCAAGTCATTGGAAGTGGTAGATTATTACGTAGCAAAAATGCAAAGATTTAAATATAATTCTTCAAATGCTGCTTTTATAAATATGTGTAGATTTTATGTGGTGCTTTTCCCATTTTACTTCTTACGCTTCAGAATGTGCACAACAGTGAAATTTTTTAAGAGAAAGGCATTTTTTGGCTTAAAAAAAACAAAAAGGAAAAAAAATGCAGCTCTGATAAGACCAGATAGTCCCAGTTTCAATTTTGCTGAGTGTTGCTTTCTATGTAATCACAATCAGTGAAGCAATTCATGAAGTAAGTCATTATGTGATGAGCAAAAGTGAGAAACTGGTCCTTTGCTTATTGCTCTGAGATATGCAATAAGTGAAAGAAACTGCTTCTGGAAACCCTAGTGCAGCATAGGTTGTGGATGAGTCCCTACAGTCAGATTTTGTTACCATATTGACAGGTACATTTCAAGAGTTAGGGGAGACGCAAAAACCATTGTTTTCACGAGTTCTCCTTCCCAGGCCTCAGAAAGTTGTAGAAATTGGGATGTTGTAGAAACAGTGATAGGAGGCACTCTATGTGATTCTGTTTGGCTGGTTTGAAAAATGGTTGGCCCTTTATTGGCCCCCCAGTTATTTTGCTGAAAGACATCCAAGTCCTGGCAAGGCAGAGGTGGTGACAGCTGGAAAAGAAAAACTTGGAGGACAGAACAAAAATGGTGTCAGCAAAGCATAATCTGCATATCTTTTCTAGCTGGTGCTGCTGAAATCAAAGTCCTGTTGCTCAGCTTCAGACCTGAAATGGACAGGATTCTGACCTCTGTCCTGATCTGTACGTTTTCCATCTTTCTTCATTAGTATTAGGATGAAGCATGCAGAACAATGAAAAATGTTTGGCATGAAATTCAGGACTTTCAGCTGGAGAAACATGTTAAAGAAGCTCTTTGATGTCTTGCTCTTCATCCTCATAAATCCCAATAGGAAAGGCAATCAAGCTCACTGTGTGTCTTTTACCAAGAATTTTCAGATACACAAAGCTTATCTTTGTGATATGGTGATTCCAGTTTGAGGAAAAGAAAGGCAGAATAAAGATAGTAATATGAATGTTTGGTTGGTTTTGCTGCTGTGGAAAACAATTGCGTGAGGTTAGTCACAGAAGGAGTTAATTCTGATTGCATTGAACAGATGTTTTCTCAGATTCATAGTTATTTAAAAAGTCCATATATTTGTCTGAGGATGAGTCCACAAACAGATTTGGGAAAGTTTCTATATTAAGAATAAGTGCAATCATTTGGTGCCTCTTTTTTGTTTTGTTTGGTGTTTTGTTTTGTTTTTGGGCGGGGGGGAGTGGTGGTGGTGGTGATGTTTGTGTTTGTTTAGTTGTTGTTGTTGTTGTTTTTACAAGGTAAAGACGGTTACCAGTAATTTCTAGGCACCTTACAAGGAAGCACATTCTCATCTGGGAAAAGAATAACGGACACACAATTCTTTAGGTACTTGGTAGCTGAAAACAAACTGAGGGCTTGAAAGACAGGAATTTGGATCCTCAGTTATGGCAGTCTTCATTTTCCAACAACAAAGGCAGCACACTTGTAGGAAGATCCTGACTGATTACCTTTGGCTGACGTGAAGATTCATATAATTTTTTCTTTTCTGAAGGGAGAGCTACCTCAGTTGTCCTAAGCATTAGGTCTTTGAAATGGAAAAGGAGTGACTGTTCTGTATCGAGGCAGAGGGAGTTGTGTCAAAGAATACTTTTCCTGAAGAAACAAGGAGGGAGGGGATGTATGTGGGGTGTACACAAGGAAGCAGCAGATGTTCTGCACACATTTAGTGATTACTTGTCTGGATTTTCACTTTGCAGTTCAGTAGAGAATGGGAGACCTCCAGATCCTGCTGACTGGGCTGTTACCGATGTTGTGAATTATTTCAGAACAGCTGGATTTGAAGAACAAGCCAGTGCTTTTCAAGAACAGGTAAACCTGTTATCAAATGCCTTCTGATTGCCACAAGTTTCTCTGTTTTTGCCATAGGCCTGACTATGTAAAATGGGAGTGAAAATCTCACATTAATGGGGGCATTTGAGTCCATGATTGGATGGCAATCCATGGGACTGTGAACTTTTGAGTAATAATATTTTTCTGCAGGCTGTGGCTAATGAGCTGGAGTTTGTTTAAAATAGTCATTAGAAAGGTAAGAAATCTAAGCAAATTTTCCAGCTTGAACTCAGTCTCCCTGTACAACCCATTCAGTTTCACTGTGTCGAATAGTGAATAGTACTTCCCTTCTTCCTTAGTATATTGTGCAAGTACACTCATGAGTATTTATAAAACACAGGGCTCCTAAGCAACAGGTTGTTTTTGAAGGCCTAGAATGAAAAAGAGGCTGCTGTGTTACAGTGAACTTGGCAGTACAAGTGAACAGGGATAGGGAACTTGATTCAGTACAAGGGAAAGGATGAGTTGATAGGGGAGCATTGTGTTCATACGACCCTCTGAGAGAGAGGTTAGGTCTTTGTTTCTGGGCCTTGTAGCTGCTGATGCTGATGGATGACTTCTGGTAGATTTGACCAGCAAAAGAGCTTAACAATCAGATGGCCCCTTGTCACTCACCTGCCAGCAAACTGGTAAAGGGGGCAGAATAGGGAAGTCAGCTTACTTGGCCTAAAGCCCACCTGTTCCACAGGGGAGTAACTTACATCTCAAGATTGTCAGTTCAGCACCTTTCCTGATAAATCTGTATGTTTAAGTGCAACTGCAAGGAAATTAGTCACCAACATTTGTCCTTACTTATCAAAAGAGATGGCTTGACCTTCCAAGGCAATGGGCTAGTGCAAATTACTTGGCAGCTTTGCAGGGACACTGGGCATCTCATATGAAATAACATCATTGGTCAGGGTAATGTTGCTGGCCTTCAGAACCATGTCTGTCAAATCCCATCTTATTGTAACTGATGAATATAATGAATTATCTTTTGTATATTTGTTCTTGGTGTTGAAAAGCCTGCTATTGGGTGATTCTCTGGCAAGTTGCAGATGAAGGTTCCTTCTGCAGCTGCTACTTATTTTTCAGAATTTGAAGATGGGTAAACAGACCAAAAAAGAAAATATTTAAGTGTGTCCGTTCCTTAATACCAGCATCCATGTCTCCTCAACAGCCCTGGAAATGTGGCTTAAAAACCCACACGGACAAAGTAATTGTGGCCTCTGGAAGTTTTTTGTCTTGTACTGACAGATACTTCTGACTTTCATCAAATATCTTAACCTCTCTGCACCTCAGCTGGCTCGTCAATAATACTGCAGTAATTACTACTGATCTTTCAGCAGCAGGGTGAGGCTAACTCACGAGTTTTGGCAAAGCAATTTGCAACAGCCTTATGGAAAACAGCGTGGAAGTAGAGTGTAAAGGTTTTGCTAGTATTCTGCAGTGAGGGCAAGTGGTTTCAGTAGGGTAACTGAGGATTCTGCTAGGATAGGCATGTGCAGAAATGTGGCTGTGATTCCATTGCCAATGTCACTTTATGCTTGGAGAGAGAGGCAGACAGCTGCCACCAGGATGTGACCAGGAGCTGTGGCGTGGACAGTCACTGCAGAAATCATTGTCACTTCTTTGCCCCTCCTTTCCATTAGCAGCACAAGGAGCAGCAAGTATCTGGTTGTACATGCCAGCTCTGCCAGCCTGTTCCCTGTCTGGATCAGAAACAGGTCCATAAACAATCCTATCCCTAAACTCTTACCAGTGGTGGTGTTCAGTTTCTTCTACACTATTTACTAGCCACTAACTGTAACTCTGTCTTCTTATGGTATCTGTTATCGGGATCTTCCAGGTATGGCAGTGCAGACAAGTTCACTGTGATTCCCAGCCATCCTCTGTCTATAGAGCACCAGTCATGCAGCTGAAGTTTTGGCCATCTGTGTTTTCCTCTGCCATTTGCAGTTTGTGTGGGCCCCTAGAAACCAGATCTGCTACTGCCCTGAATATGTACTGGAAAAGGAATAAGGTTGTAAGTGGTAAAGGAAAGTATTCAGTGTCACCTACAACACTGGAAAATTGTTTTCCATTGAACTTCTTTGGTAGGGGTAGCACAATGGTTTCCTTACAAAACATCCATAGCCCAGAATGTAATCTGTTATTATGTTCAGCTTTTACACAACAGTAGCAGAGTCCACACTTTCTTTTGATGAATCTGAATACATCTGGACTTGCCTAAAACAAGTGACTCAAAAAATTTTTAAGACCTGAATTTGTCTTAAAATATTTTAAGGACAATGAGAAGACATTTTAAGGGCTGTGGAATGTTTTATTGAAAAACATTTTAAGTGCTGTATTTTAAGCGCTGGTAAGAAGTGACGATTGTATGATTATTATACCTTATTCCTTCTTGGAGTTCCACTAATGTCAGCAAATCAGAAGAGCTCACTGATGAAAACAGATTCAACTCAAAGATACTGCCCAATAATAAAAAACCATAACATCAGCAAGCAAATCAGGCAAGCCAAGAAGCTGGGGACAGAGGATACCTAAAGAGGGGGGAATACCAGATGCAGGCTGAGGGTGTGAACACCTTCAAAGAAATGCTACCTGTCAGCATGTGGCTGAGCTTTCTCTAGGAGGCCCGGGAGCACAGGGGCTGTAGCTCACTCCAAGACTGAAACTGTTTACAAAGTCTCAAGATATGCTAGTGCTGTGACCTTTGTTATTGCCCATGTGGCTTCTTAACCATTAGTACTGTGATAGCCACATTAGCCCAGTGCTTGTTTCCTGGCTCACTGCAGCCCTTACCAGAAGGGAATCTGGGGTGTGATACCAGCTTGTGTCCACTGCTGCTTTCCAGCAGAGCCAAGGCATGGAGGAGCATGTGAATGTGCTGGATGCCGTGCTTTCATGTTGCCTGTGCTGTAAAACCTTGCAGTTCTCAGAAAGGGCAGAAGGAGTGGTGGGAGGACTTGAAGCTTAATCAGTCCTCTGGTTATTTGCTGAAGACAATATTCAACTGCTGTTGAGGTCATTCAGGCACAGTGGGAAATTACTGTTAGCTCTAATTGTGCAGAGGTGTCTCTCTGAAGGTAACAAAAAAAAAGGCATACTGAAAGCTAGCACTGAAGTTGCATCCCCCCCCAAAAATACAGAAAATAGAGAAGTAGTAGAGAAGAAATCAGAGAAGTCACCAAAGCATACAAAATCTTATCTGGTGCCAAAAAATGGAGTAACTGTGACGATTCTGCAGAAGCGTGTTTATGTGGAAACTTAAAGGAAGTGGAAGAGGTAAAAACTTACAATACACACAAAGGTAGAAAATGCTTGAACTCTGAATACATAATCACTCATTTCTACACAGATGTTAAAGAATCAGTTTTCTATTCAATGAAAGCCTTAGTAGTTACCAGCACTTCTAGAAATCACAGGAAACCCTATGGAAGAAAAAGGGGAAGGAATAGATGCTTTTTTTCCTATTCTTGGAGTTTCTCCTGTTCCAGGTACTCGATTTACTTCACTGGGATCCTACCAAGCTGGAGGCTGTTCCTCCTCCATAGCATCGTTGAACAGCAGCAGAAAAGCAACTTCAGATCGGTCATAGCAATGAGCAAAATACTCACTGGTGTCAAAATTCCCACAGAAAGAATTGTGACGAATGGAAAAGAGAGGATAGAAACTGGTTTTAACCATTAACATTCTCAACAGTAATTGGAAAGAGACCTGCTATAATTGGGTAAAAAGTTATTGGAAACTTTTTTTTTCTTTTAGACATACTGTTACTTTGTGCTTCTCTGAGGGATTAACAGTCGTATATATCCTGAGGATATTCTAAAGAAATTCCACTTTCAGTTGATCTTTGACTATATTGTGGTTTGTCCATGTATTTTGTATTTATAAACTTTATCAAATTGTAAGAGAGATCAGTCTGGATAAATTCATGCTGAACTGTAACATAAGTCTTCCTCTTTTCATGTTGCCTTGCAATCAAGAATGGGATCTCTAACATTTCCAAGGCAACAGTTAATATTCCTAAGGAACATGCTGCAGTTTGATAAATTGATGTGTAATGTTTATAATACTTATAAGAAAACTGAATTTTGGAAGTATATTAGAGGACAACGACAATATGCCAGCATTTGAATTCATTGTTGGCTATTGATAACAAATTCAGCAGTTAATAGTGGGGGTTTTCTTAATTAGAAGTGAAAAAAGAGTGCAACAGCAGAGTGAAGTCCTGTGCAGGAGAATGCCAGATAGGGCTGTATACTTTTTTGGGTTGTGATGCCCTGTGGAGGTCTGGCTGTGTTATGAGACATCAATCAATGCATGGCTGTGTAACTGCAGCTCCTGTTTCTGGAGTAGAGCTGTAGGAATGTGTAATGAAAAGGATGGTCCCATGTCTAAAATGGAGGAGGGAGTTGAGAGATGTGGATTCTTTCTTTTCCATTTTGACCTTTGAAAAGTCATTCAGAGGTAGTTTTCAAACATATGGCAAGGTTTTGAGATGGAAAAAAGCCCCAAAGCCTACAGGATTTCTAACCTAAACACGTCAGAAGGTCAAGGTCTGAGAGAAAAAAGCCCCACCATATCCGGGATTTACAAATGATATTTAAGCAGGAAAGTGTAAGCATTGTTGAGACCTCAGCTGGCAAGTTGCCACTTTTCTCCTCCTCGCTTGTAAGTGGCAGAAGAGAAGTTCCCTCAGAGTGCCAAGCTCCAGTTAGGCCCTTCTAAAATTTCTGATTGCAAGAGTCTTCTCCTTGTTTTCCCGCACAAGATGCATGGGAAGGTTGGCCTTTTAAAGAAGGCACCTGAAGTTATTAGCAGATACTGATGAGTCTAAACTTGCATATTGCTGTCAATAGTAATTCTGAAATGCACTTCATAAGCTGCTTTCTTAAGGGTATCCTTCCCTTAATGGCTGATAATTATGCAATCTGCACTTGTACCTATTAATTTGAAAGAGGTTTACAAGGAGGGAATTTTGAAATTAGGCTCATTTGAATTTTTTGCTTGACTAAATAGTATTTATACCTTAGTCAGCACAGGTGAGCACTTGAAAAGCAGACAGCAGAATTTAGCAGCTATAAACATGGTTTCAGGAAAATAAAGGCTGCTATTTCTTTTCTCACTGATCCTCTGTAGTAGTCTTTTGTTGCATGACTATTCTCATCTGTTAGATTTGTACATTTGTCTTTATCAACTCTTTAATTCTTCTTATAGGAAATTGATGGCAAATCATTACTGTTGATGACAAGAAATGATGTACTGACTGGACTTTCATTAAAACTGGGGCCTGCGCTGAAAATCTATGAATATCACGTAAAACCTCTACAGACACAACATCTAAAGAACAACTCTTTGTAGCGAATTGTCTCATTGGGGTCATGTACCTCAAAGGAAAAATAAGCAATTTGGTTTCATGTGATGGAACTTTGTAAAGAGGGAATATATCTATTAAGAGTTTAAACCAAATTACAATATATATCCTATTGGATAGAGATGGCAATATACGAGTCTGAACTGAGAGAGGTTGTGTGTATTTTTTACATAGTACATAATGATTTTCTCTTTTAGGAAGTGTCAGTGAGTATGTTGAGATAGCTACATCACTGTATCCAGAACAAAAGGAGGTATGTCATTCTCATTTTTGAGCCAGACAAGTTCTTGATTTCATTAATTGAAATACAACCAACAACAACAACAAAACACCAAAAAACACCAACCAACCAAACAAAAAACCAAAAAAAACACAACCACAAAACCAATCCCAAATAAAGTTTTCATGCATCTTTAGAAGAGAGAAACTAGTTAAAGTAGGTTTTGGTTTACACTGAAGACGTATTAAAATTATTACTACTTTTAATTTTAGGATGGGACTGACACTTACCAAGTCACCCTTTTTTGCAGAGGGTCCTATTTTGACCTTATTAAGGTTTTCTGTGGTATGCTGCAATGTTTAAAGCTGTACATACAACTAACATAACTCCTTCGATAGCGGAAGGTGTTGGTGACAGGTGAAACTGGGTTGTGTATTTTTTGCTGTTCTTTAAATTTTCAACTTATTTTCACCTGTTTTTAATAGTAGTCCAATGTAAAATATACTTGGGTTTTAAAGGTTTGTGTTCCTTTGCAAACAACAACAAAAAAGCTTAATTTTATTCCTTTTTTAATTTATGATTGTTTTCTAACATTATGCAGAAATTTGTAAAAAGTAAAATTCTGCACATTTTTAATACTGTCTGTCTTTGGTGTTGTAATGATTGGGGTTTTTTTAATGCTTTACTTAGCAGTTTGAATACTTGTTTTAAGAACTGAAAGAAGCTGTCTCATCACCATATATCTCTGTTAAAAGAGAGTCTTGTTCAGTCTGTTTGTACCAGTTCCCTATTTGATAGGTTGCTTGCTATTTCCCAATAAAACATTGCTTATGTTTGGATTCAGTTTACTTTACAGATCTTTTACTTTCTCTCTTTCTTGGTTGTGGTATATTTGAGCTCCTGTTTTTCTCCATTTTCCTATTAAAAAGGTACCAAAATCTATTTAATATTTTATGTTCTTGTGATTACTTTTAACATCACCTACCATGATATTTAAAGATTTAATTATTTTTGCTTTTTCTTATATGGTGTTACATACTGCTGAAGGAGAAGCCCTGGTCACAGTTCATCGGTAGCACCTGGGCTTCCCTCATCCCTGTCAGAGAAGCAGAGCTGCCGTGCTAGCCCTGGTGCACAGGGTGATTTGATTTACCCCACAACATCTGGGAGACAGCCCATGGATGGTGCTAAGCCCTGTCTGGGCTCACCATCGTCTCTGGCCCAGAGAGCGTTGTGGTAACCCCCAAAACTGGAATGTGGGGTTGTATTGGTGAGGCTCAGCCAAGGAACCAGGAAGTAAGAAACAAGCATAAGAGTGTGGTGAAAGTGGAAATAGTGTGGGAGGAAATGGTGAGGGGGTGCAGCTGAGAAGGGAGAAGGGTGCTGCTTTCTGCCAAGTGGGGAAAGGATTCAGGGAGAGGAAGGAAAAGCTCCTGTAGTGCCCTGCTTAGGTGGTGGCCCTGTCTTCACTCTGACTTGGCCAAGGGCGAGGTGGATGTTCATGCTACGGTGCTGAGAGAGTTGCTTATGGTTTCTGGTGTTGACATTTGAGAAGGGATAAAGCCGTTAACATAACTATGCCATAGGTAAAGCTTATGGTGTATGCTATAATACATAAACTATATACAGCAGCATGCTTTCTTGTATACTTTCAACTCTTTACATTGTACAGCATGTTAATTTGGAATCTGAGATAATAGGATGGAGATGTATTGACCATTTTTTTTCTGTCCCTTGTACTGTTCTTACTTCAGGTATTGGTCTCTTAGCAGCAGGTTTGTAAGTCACGTTCTGAATTCTGCTTATGATTTTGTTTATAGTTGGTAGTGTCCAGAGGTCTGCTTATGATTTTGTTTATAGTTGGTAGTGTCCAGAGGTACCTACTGGGAGTGAGGATCTTCTGCAAGACTAGATTCAAATGGAGATCATCATTGCTGCCTTGGGAAGTTTTGAGGTATAGTCTGTATCAGGCTAATTGTGGGCTGCAATTGAAAAATTATATATAAAACTCCTAAATATTTTAATATAGAATTAGGTCTGTTTATGAAAAGGATTATGAAAAGCTGTGTGCAACAGTCTGCACATGCCTACCAGCCTTGCATTTGTAGAATTGTTTTTGGATGAGAATACTTAGTGCTGTGTTACTGAAGGATTAATTGAATATTCTCTTCTTCTCCATTTGCATGTTTGGTGTGGGATTGACATACTTTGTGGATCTATGGATGACATAGAATTAAAAGTAAACATATTTATTCTATGAGGGAGTAAAAATGTCTTCTGTGCAGACATGAGAGTGCATTTGATGATTACTGAGCACAGTTTTTCCTTTTAATATGTTTTAATTAGCAAATGAATTGCATTCAGAAACATCCAGATGGTATTCCCCTTTTCCTCAGCACCACTGAGTCACACAAGTAAAGACGTAACAGAAAGCTTGCTGCGAGTGCCAAAGGGAATTTACAGGTTGTTGCTCAAAACTGTGACAATTTTTTTACTATCCTTGATCTTTATTGTAGTTTCCTACAGTTCTCTGAGCTTTCTAATGCTGCTGTTCCCTTTGTGCAGGTGACCGTTCTGGTCTTACATTCCTCTTGCTGTTTCTGGGAGAACAAAAAAAATCTTTTTAAAAGAGACTGGAGGGTTTGAAAGAGGAAGTCAAAGCCAGATTATTTTTAGCTACCATTCCTCTTGCAGAAAACACAGCTGCTGTTGAGATGGGGAAGCGACTGATAGGCATTACTTGGATACCATGTCAGTATGCAGCTCTGAGTCGCAGAGCTATGCAGGAATCCAATTTATAACGTGCCCTTAAATGTGCCAGCAGCTGGGAGAGTCCCTCTTCCTTAAAAGCCCTCTCTGTGCTTTGGGTGATGGTTAAGCTGCCAGGTAGGACTGCTCAGCTGATACTGAGCATGACAGTGGTCTTTGCTTTCACCCCGAACTACAGTTCCGAGTGCCCTCCTCCTGGAGGCAGCTTTAAGGAGCAAAGCAGCAGTGAGCTGCCCTGCTCTACTGCGGGTCAGCACAAAAATGGAGCCGTGCTGCAGCCAAGGGCCTCCTCCTCCCTCTTCTTCCTCTTACCCGTTGTGTAATATGAGCAGTGCGTATCTATCGCAATCTCTCATGCACTTTTCAAAATTATCTGAAAGCATTACAGTATGCTTGCTCTGATATGATGGTTGTGAAATATGTGCTGGTATTGTTCATTAGCTCTGGTCTCAAGCTGTAAATACACAATGCCTGGCATATTCTCTTTGCACCCAAACATAATGCCGAGTGCCACACGTAGAGCATATATAAGACAACGGTCAGCAAAGTATGGGGTCTGTGGCTGTGCCTGTCCACCCAGATCACTTCCTCAACCCAGAGAAAATTGTTCTGACTACATACTGCTGTCTCCCATCCCTGCATGTTATATTGTTTCCAATTTGTTCTCATGTGCTGCACTTTATCAGTTTGTAGAAAATTCTTTGCTTCTATAATTATAGGACAAGATTTGGCAGCTGTAATGAAGGGAGTAGCCACCTGTGGATCACTCCTGGTTAAAAATGGCCCAGACAAAAGGTCTCATTAGGCCCTCGCTTTCAGTGATTACTTGCTAAATAACCTTTCCATCTTTTCAATGCTTTTTCCTACATGTTCGTATTCTACCCAATCCTTTCTGTCTTCTTCCTTTTAAAAATCAACATTTAATTGATGTGTTATCTTCAACACTCCTCTTTCTACTGTCACATTTAAGTTAGAATCACAGTTAATTTAAAATCAGAGGGTCATACTTTCTGTGAGTCTGGGATAAGCTACAAAATTATTTCTCATTTTTTAATGGTAGTGTTGTCTAAAATTTGAAAGCTGAGTCCAAGTAGGACCAGGAAAACATTACCTCACTTTGCCTCTATTCTGGTTCTTTGCTTCCAAGTCAGAACAGTAGTGCCTTCCCTTCCAGGAATGGCTTTTGGCCCAAAAGTCATGTGAGGAATTAAAGGACTGTAACTGTGCATGTGAACAGTGTAACCATCATCGGCTCAGTAAGCAGCAGGATGAGTGGAGCGGGATAGAGAAGGGTCTGCTCTACCCTTTCCTTCAGGGACAATTTACATAGGCAGTGGATTGGCTTCTGCTTCATCTAGTGAGATGACTTGGGGCTTGGGGATGCCAGCCAAGAGAGCTTATCCATATCCCATTCCATCCCACCCAAGGTCTCCATACACCTTCACCTCTGTGTTGCTCAGTTTTGACAGGAGCTTCCCTAGAGGAGGTGCAGAGGGCAGTGGCTGTCATTAGCCCATTGGCAGCCTGCAAGGGCAGCCTCAATTGGGAGAATGGGCAGACTGATTTAATAAATAGCTTTCATTCCTGTTGGGAAAGTCTGTCTTCTTTTTAATACGATAATGTAACAAGGTCATTAAATTATTTTTTGCTTAGCCTCTATAATTAGGGAATTGATTTAGTGATGTTACTTGGATCCCAGATGTATATGCAACTCTCAGAATAACATTGGTTAGTAGTCACTGTAAATTTGGGGAATACAGCTGTAACCTCAAATACCTGGAGAACCCAAAGGGAGCACCTTGAAGACTGTAAGTGGTCCTTGGTCTCCCATGTGGGAGTTTCATTGCTGCTGGAGGCTGCTGGTGAGTACTGGAGACAACCGTTATATTTATGTGCTGCACTTGTGAGCATATTTGTTAAAGGAGCAGTCAGCTGTTAGAACTGCTGTATCATCAGCTGATCTGCTGATAAGGCAACAGCAAGTGTGTTGGCAGTGGCAGGCTTGCACTCATCTCAAGATGTTCTCTTCCCCTTTTTGGACGATTGCTGTAATCCAGCTGCCCCTCTAAACACCCTGCAGTACTTGCTATGTTGAGGATGCCTGTGACTTTGCAGCAGCTAGTATCAAAAAAGGGAGGGAATGCCCATCATTTGCACCAGTCTCTGTTTCAAGAGTAATGTGGCTTTGTGTTGTCCTGGTGGATGGCATCAGGTGGAAGGAAGTAGAAAATAAGGTACTTGTAGATGAGTTTGTTCCCGAGCTGGTGGTGAAACCACAAGGAAAGGTGTGGTCTAGCAACCCTGTTTCACAAGGGTACTCTGAACTCCCTGCTTCCTTCGCTACAAATACCACGTGCTGGTTTAGCTGGGCTTTCCTGCCTGGGAATATGTGTGTCTTAAAGATTTGAAAACCTTGCAGGAGTACAATGCTATTAAAACTTGAACTGTTGTCTTTTTTCAGGCAGCTGTCAACGTTAATGGGGGAATTTATGCCTAATGCCACCCTTGGGAAGTGGCAGAAGCCCCCGCAGTACTCACAGTACTCAGGCTCTCTTGTTTTGGTTGTTACATTTCCCTCTGCACCAAAGGTTTCTCTACTCCCTTATTTACTTGAGTCCCTCCAGTATTGTTTGGGTTGGATTTTTGGTTTAGTAAGAACTAATCTCAGCTCCTGTTTTTTTATTATTTGATTGCCATTGATCAGGCCTATATCAGCTGATCTAGTAAGTGTCATTTATGCATGTATTTTATGTGGGAGTGGGGGGGTGTGTGCAAGCACTCAGGTACATATGTCTTTCTTAGTCTGCTATGAATGGTAAGGTTCAATCTCTGAATTGGAAAACAGTTTATATTGTAGCTGAGATGTGAGTTGGAGACATTTAATAGGTTTCCTTTCTAGATACAGCTGTGCATTTCCCAAGAGGAAGATGGTTGGCTGTTGTTTGTGTACAGATAGTGGAATTCTAAATTTGGAAGTATTTATATTGAGGGTTCTAGCCAGAAACAGGTTTTTGGTCACTTTAACTAGCTCAGTTCAACTCTGAATCAGATTTACGTACTCCTGATAAAAGCAAGATTAAATTTTAAAAATAAAAAGACAGCTTTAAAGAAGGAAAGAAAAAGTAGCTGGAATAGTTAATAAAAACTGTCAGGTTTAAATGTATGTTGGAAAGCAGGTAGCCTGAATATGTAGAGAATAATACAGTCAGGGAAGACAGAGCACTTGTGCTGACCCTGACAGTGACATTTGCTCTCTGTTTTAGATACTGGCTGATGAGTTTACCTGGTGCACTTTATCTGTGTAACATTGGTTGTGCACAGAGCAGGATCAGCAGCTGAGAAGAGCTGTGGTTGAACTGTCAGAATTGAACAGAAACAGGATGTGGAAGAATTGGATGCTAAAATGATAACATGCTTGTGCACGTGAAATACCCTGTTTCTTGGTAGGAGGTTTCAGACCCTATAAACTACTGGGATGTAGCCCAAGACCGGTAAGGTTCATGTTATCGGCAAGAAGTCGTATTTTAAACAGCAATTTTACAATCTGCTAGCTGCTGCTCATTTGCATCAAGTGTGATTTCATCAGCAAAGCATTGCAGCTGCTTCTGAGTAAAACACAGTAAGCAACTTGCCTAGCTCCTCAGGACAGGAACTGAAAAAAAAAATCTGTCTCAATGAAATTAATGCAAGTCCGTTGTGGAGACCGAATCTAACGAAGCCTGTGGGAATTTGGTCAAATTTCAGGCCCAGGTAAGTCTGGCTGAGTCCCATTTTCAAGAATGATTTATGCCACTGTTATCTGAATCTAATTACCATATGGAAAATTTGGGCTGCTTCCAATTGCCTGAGTACTTTCTTTAGAAGCTATCTGCCCACGTAAGTGACTCAGGCTTGCAGTGCTGGATGGAACTGCACTGAGATGCTTTTAAGGACTTACTGATGTCTGCATGTCTGTGGAGGTTTCTACAGACCACACTGAATGAGTGTACGTGTGGGCTTGCTGTCACAGGAGAGTCTCACTAAACAACTGGTTGCTGTTTTGTGTCCTCATTCTGCCATGAAGGTTAGTCCACCACTACCTTACAGGCCCACAAATGAAGCACAAAGAGTAATGAAGGAAGCCTGGTGCCTAGTGCAATAAATTTCTTATAAGGTAGAAAGGAAGTAGGTTGTGCAGATCTGCTTTGTTTTGAAAAGCGGGAAATGCGGAAATGTTCAGTAAGGTTCTTTTTCATCTATTGTTCCAGCTATTGGTAGTGAACTGTCATTTGGAAAAATATTGATCTCTTTTTGAGGTAAAATTGGTTGAACTAAAATATTACTTACAATGTTTACAGTAGTAAATGGTAAAGAGTCAAAAGCTAGTTTGTTTTTTTGATGTTGCTTTTTATTTGCCCATAAATGATACATTAATAAATTACAAGCACCTAGAAATGGCAGAAGTAGCAAGACATAAGCCCACAAATGCAATACAACACAATCTAACAAGGTAAGCAAGAATGTCCTGAGCAAAAGCTAGAAGTGTTGTAAATAAAGCTTTCAGAATTGGCTAGTGATCGGAGAACATCATATCTGGGACAGTTTCACTCTGTGGTGTCACTTATCCTGTGTTCCAGGAGATAACTCAGGGTTGTGAACAGTGTCTTCCCTTTGCATCTGTTACATCCTGCTCACCCAGGCAAGTTTCTATCTTGCAAAGTACCTGAAAATGTCACACAGTGCAGGACATCTCTCTCACATTTGGTGCCTGTGAACTTGATAATTGTACCCGGAGGAAGGCTGCAGGTCTGCCAAACTCCAGAGGCACAAAGGCAACTGAATTGCAGTTTTTAGAACTTACTTTGGGCATTTCCCATTGGACTTGTACATTGTCACATGGAGCCTGTGAAAGTGGTGCTTGGAGAAAGTGGGAGCAGGGGTTAGACGCTGTTAGAAGCTGAGCAAGATTCCTGTTGTAAATGTGGTAGCCCAGTTTGCAAGATGAGAATTGTTGACTGTATAGTTTTATCTCTACGTTCAAAGCCATCACCTGGGGTAATAAAGTAACATATGCATTGTCTGCCTGGCTGGCTTTCTCCCTACCCCTCCCCAAAATAATAGGGTTACTCCTGCCTGCTCAGAAGTCATAAGATTATTAGACTAAGGAAAATTATTTAATTAAGCCTACAGAGATAGCCCAAACCCTCAAACACCTCAGTGATTAATATGAAAGTAGTTATATAGTAACTTTTTGATCTAATGAGTAGCAGTTGCAGTCATGCAGTCAGAATACATGCAGAGAAAGTAGTCAACAGCTCTTAAATATTCACACCACAAAGAAGATATGAGAGATACTTTTTTTTTTTTCTGTTTTTCATTTCCTGTGCAAAGAAATCCATGTCTGACTGACTCCCTGTTCAGTCACTGGGTCAGAACCTCAGCTCTGTAGATCAGTGTGGCATCAAGGGGTTATGTCAGGTTATGTCAATGAAACAGCAGATCTTGTGCCTGTATATTCATTTCACTGAAGAAATATTAAAAAATAGAATATACGGAGTTTCTGATTTTACATGTCAAAAAATATTGCAGATATCAAATTATTCATTTTGTTAAGAGGTCTGGGAATAATTAGTTTAAAAATTAATTGGCTATAATGTTTCCAGCTGGGATTTTTCAAAGAGCATAGGGGATTTCAATCTGCAAATCACACTGAAATTCAGGAACAGACTTTGATTTCTGAATTTCTGAGGGTTCTTCATAAATCTCATCCTCAGGAGTTCATAGAAGGAAAAGTAGTCAGCAATGGAAGAGGCCAGTAAGGAGTAAATATTGATAGGAAAGCTGTGCTATTAAGTTTATCAGGAAGGTGTGAACATAGCCAAGAGGTTTAGTTTCCCTGGGCAGCTGCCAGTCCAAACTGACATTTCCTCTCATCTTTCAGCACATGGCCTTGTGCTTCGAAAAACTTCTTCCTGCCAAGTGTGCAAGCACAGGAGCCATAAGGAGCTTCCACAGGAATCAAAACCTGAGGGGGATGAGCACAAACACACGGGTTACTTTTGAGACAGATTCACTTCCCAGGCCCTTTCCTTCTCTTACAAACATCAGTGGTGGATGTTGATGTTATAACAAGAAGAGATGGACCTATAATGTCCACCTGGAAGAAGGCAAGGATGGGAGAGGATGGAAGCAGTATCACAAGACTTTGGGGGAGACTAGAGCATAAACAGGTTGTAGACCATCGATGCAAAATGGAATAACCCTGTTTCTCTTTCACATGAGAGACCTTCAGCTGGACCTGGCTGGCAGCTACAGCAGCTGTGGAGGGAGGAGTAAATACATCTCATCCCCTACATGTCTCACCCTCTGCCTGATCCCAAGCTTGCACCTTGTCCATGGTTGGACCAATCTGCCTTGGCTTCTAATGGTTACAGAAACATCCCTTTACTGCTCCCTTAGACTGCTGGTGGTATGTCACCCAGAGTCAGCCTGTGGCCTCGCTGACCTGCTCGTAGCTCTGCTGCACTGAGAATGCTCCCTGGCCTGAGTGGTGGTGCCGATGGAGCAGAAAGAAGAGCCACAGTGGGCTGGCTTTTCACACTGCCTGGCTATGGGAAAGGATGCTTGGTTAAAACTGCACAGGTTGACATTATAACTGAAAGTCAAATTCAGTGGAGAAAATTAAAATAATTTTTCAGAGAGAGTCTCTGTTACAGATCCATTTGATGTCCAAAGCATTTCACTGAGCTCCTTTAGCTTTTATCAACAATGCAAGAAGGCAACTAATTATTCTTTTGTAAACAGTGTAAACCTTACCTCTAAGGTGGAGCTTTTACTGGGGCTGGGTGAGAAAGTTTGCTCCCTCTAGCTCTGTGTGCAGAACTGCTGCTATGCTTTAAGGCTGAGTATTTCTAAAGAGTGAAGGCAAGTTATGTTTGAAGCATTTACTTACTTCTTTGTCGTTGTTCAAGCCTAGATTCTTCATGTCTAGGACATTATAAAAAGTGTTGTTCAAGACCACTTCTATGACCTGTACCTGAAACCATAAAACAGATGAGACAGTTAATTAGGGCACCTCTTCAGCAACAGCTTGGCAGGCTTTTCACTTGCCGTAGAAAAAGAACAATGCAGCCCTCCCAGTACAGTTGACTAAATGTAATCTAGTAAACATGTGTAGTACACCTTTCACTTTTACTCAAGTGCTGCCAAGCACTGAGTGATATTCTCCTGTTGTGCTCACACCTGGAAAGCATCATAGGAACTTCTCAGTGTGTTCCTATTTTTTCTGACCATCTGGCTGTACCACCAGTTTTCAGTCTGACAGAGGAAATAATGGTCTCATGTTTGTTTCTTGCTCATCCAATTAACATTCACTATTGTTTAAGTAAAACATCATAAGGAGGAAAGAAGATACCTGTGACACTTTGGAAAGGACAAGCATCTGGATAGAGTTGACAGTTTTCTGGTATGAGGGTGAATATTCCCCACAGTCGGGTGGTCCGGAAAAGGCTTCAAGGATACATTCACGGATTTTGTTCCTAGAGGTAACACAGGTTCTTACAAAACCTTGTATCAGCTGTCTCTGTTTAGATCCAAAATGTTTTACTGTGAGGTGGATTTTTTTATATTTTTTATGTATCTTCTGGCTAATATGTAGCACATGGGATTTTGTGGAGGAATGATTTATTTGTCATGTAAGCTCCAAATTCTTCCCAGCTCTCCCCCGCCAGCTCTAGAATTCACAAGCAAGTTTTGCTAAAAATATTTTAAAAAATCATTATTTTATTCTCTAGATGTGTTCTGCACTGAAACTGAACTGTTCATTTAAACCCTGTCCACTGAGACAGCATCAGAGAGACCCCAAGACATGCCTCTCACTCCCTGTAACAGGCTTAGTGCCACCGCTGAGACCTGCGAGTGGCTGGTGCACAGCAGATGCAGATCTGGCCCTTACACCTGCTGTGTGGTATAGGGGGACTTTGTGGCTATAGATTAGCTAATCAGTATTACTTGGTATGACATATACCATATGCAGTCAAAGTCAAAATCCTTGCATTCGCCGTATGACCACTTGCAGAAGAGCTCTCCACATAGAATCCTGTCATGTCTTTCAGGAAGTGTGGTGTGTTCATTCTTATAGAAGCCTTCAAATCCAGACTGTGTTGTCTTCATAAGTTTCAGGTCTTTAATTCCAGCAAAGACGACCAGAGGACCTATGATCCAAAATTACAAGACAATACGAGCTCATTTTCAGGCAGAGAGAAAAAAAACTCTGGGTGATACTTGCAATGACAGCTCCAAAGCCAGAAAGCAGATAATAATTTTCTGCACACTGATGTTAGCAGAACGGTAAGAAGCAAGACAGAAACTACTGAAGTCAGAACTCAGTCCAGAAAATGGAGAATCCCATCAATTGACCTGAAGTTAAGGAGAACTTTTTAATCTCACTTGCTTGGAACTGGGACATACATTGGGTTGGCTCCCACTGATGTCAACTTAGGAATGACTGATTTCTCTAAAGGGAAATGAAATAGGCTACTAGTGCTGTGGTGTACAGGAGAGGTATGGTGCACCTTTTCTAACAACACAGACGAGTGTAAAAACAATCTGTATAAAGGCAGAGCTTCAGTCAGAAATTTGCTTTACATACCCATCTGGTTGGGAGTTTTGCATCTCTGGAACGAGAGGGCAAGGAGTCAATGCAAATCCTTGCAGCTCAGCTAATAGGCAGGAACTGGCATCGGTACAGATGCCGCCCACAGATTCAAACTGTCAGTGACTTTGCTCTTAGCCACTATTTATAAAATGTGCTGTTGTGGATCACTGCTGCATGAGTGGATTATCATCCCCTAAAGATCAAACAATTATGTCCTGAATGTTTTCTCCTGACACACTTTCTGAATAGTGGCTAAAAATTACATGCAGTCAGTCATTTAAGAGCACACCAAACTGATAACTGAAAATTTCACTGACCAGAGCTGCCAAAAAGCAGATTCAGAAAGTAGAAACTTCATGGCATGCAGGCTCATTCAGGGCCTGTACAGATAGTCAGTAGCTGAAGCCCAAGCTGCTGTTTCAGTGCTTCTCTTGGTGCTCACGCTAGCTAGTAATCCTTGAATACATCTGGTGCATAGTAATCCTGCCTTGGTCTGGCAAGACTGGCAGATTTTGTCTTTAAACTATGTCTTTGCAGGAATTTATACTGGAAACAATTCCACTGTGGTAGACATTTGTAAACTGCATGATTGTTTAGAGATTTGGGGTTTTTTTTAAACTGCTCTGTGACTGAATATTATTGATACTGCATCTTATGTTTCTTTTATCTGTCTTTTCTTGTTTACATTCATTATTGCTTTTGAATGAGTCTATGGAGGTGTATTTGTAATTTTGCCTATATTCCTTACTTATTTATCTGAACCTTAAAAAAATGTAAAGAAGAGACTGTCCTTGGTCAGGATATGGACCCTTGGACAAACTCTTGGACAGGGTTTGTTCAGATCTTGATTAATTTATTGCTTGGGTATAAGATTGTGATACACAGATATTAATGTAGTGCAGATTCTATCAGTGAAACTGAAGATACATTTATCCTATAGTAAAATATATAGCCTTGTTTGAAAGAGCTCATTGCAACAAAAGACTGAAAGGCTGTGCAGCAATCAGCCTGAAACTCACTCTGAAGGAGGTAACACCTGGCAGAGTTTCCAAGGTGAAAAGCCCACGTTGTACTTTCAGTATGTTTTGTGCTTGTGCTGTCTTCAATTGTCAAATGTTGACTCTCTTACTTATGATGTTTTCAGTTTCCAAAACACTCTGAGCCTTTTATCAGCTGATATAATGCCAGAAAATGTCTATTAAGTCTCAGTAGGGTTTTTTTTTCTTGATGAGAAAAGCGTTAAAAGTAGGATTAACTGAGAATTGAACTCCTGTGTCTGGCTGAGAGGTGCATAGGAGGATGCTAAATATAGAGAACATTCTCTTAGGGAAAAAAAAAAAAGTGATTAAAAAATCTTCTCTGGTTATTGCTCACCTAGGCAGGGAATCCTAAAGAAACAGTTAAAGGGCTGCATGAAGGGAAGTCTAAGAAGGAAAAGTGATTTCTTCAGTAAGCCTTAAAGGCTTTTTGTTTGTGTAGAATCTGAAATTGCAGAATTTCATGCTGAATTTTCAAGATGATGAAAAATGTAATTGAATCTACATTAAGAGCAGCGGCTTTTAAGAGCAGCAGCTTTTGAAGAAAGCATAAACTCTTTTTCTTTCCTTTTTTTTTTTTTTTAGTTCAGGTTTCTTTCTTAACATTTTCCAGACACCAAAGTTAATACTATTGAGGCTGCCAGAAGTACAGCAGTAGTTCATGTTAATAGTAGCATTAAAAGAGATGAGGCCAAGAGACACTGGAGACTTGTGTTTTCCTCCCTCCCTCCTTCATTTTGGAACACAGGGATAGTGCTCAAATGCGCCTTTCAAAACTTGTGCCCTGTCGGCAACTGCAAGTGGTCCTGCCCCTGGCCGTAGGATGGGAGATAGTTACATTAGTGCAGTTGAGATAGGTACCAAACTAGTGCCTAAAACCTCTAAACCCATTGTGAGAAATGATGTAGTGGTCTCAGCTCAGTTCCCAGGAGTCTGAGAGATGGGTTAAATGAAACACCATCACAGTGAGACTGAGCTTACACTCTTGTTGTGAGCCATAGCAAGTAAAGGTAATTTTTACACTTCCTTTGGAATGCAAATTTATGGACAAGACAGTTGAGTTTGAAAGCTTATGTCTTTTAAGTATCACAAAACTCTTGTTTAAGGCAAATAGTGCTTTGGTGTGCAAAAATAGTAAGCACGCTCTAGTATTTTCATGTGAAAAATTGTTTGCATGTAGACCTGAGTGTTCACAATGTTCAAGCTAGCCTGGCTTGTAGGAATGGAACTGCAGCTATCTTGGCAATAAAATTAGAGCATGTTGACAGGGATTTGAAAATAACTGCAAACTGGGCAGTTGGCCTGTAGCAGTGTGGCATGGAGAAATGATAATGGGGGACTGCAGAATATACTATAGGGTAAAAAAGTAAGAGGCCTGTTCTTGGGAGGCTACTACATCCTGTCTCACTATGAAATAGTTCTGCTGGATGTGCTGTTGTAAGCATTCTGTGTTTGGAATGTACTTACAAATGTGAGCTATGTTAGTTCTTCAGCTGTGTCTCAGAGATCAAGAACTGCAAAATAGACTCTAGAAGTATCCTTTGTTTTAGACCTCTGGAGCGTTTTGGCTGTGCTGTAAGCCCTGTAACACCTGTAGGTATCTCTAAAGCCATCTTTGTCTCTCATTGGCAGAAATATTTACCAAGAAGTAGGGGAAATTGCCAATTTTTTTTCTCACCATTTCGGCACTGCTCAGCTTCACAAAAGCGGATCCCATCAGGAACACATATGAATGAGTGGATGTGAGGAACACCATTCTGCAATTTAGAGTAGACATGTAAGTAAAAGTGCCATAAATACTATGCTAACTGGAAAACAGGAGATAAGAGAGCGAGGAATGGCTACAGCATAAACAGAATATATTAGTTTTTTAGATACCTCATGCAGACGTTGCCATGGTACTTCTTGAACGTAGGTTTTGACGTACGCCACTTGGCAAAATGTTGTCATGAAGTGATTGCAGATATCTATAGCAAATTGTTCTAAACTTGGGATCTAAGACAGCAAACAGCATTATTAGAAAGAAGGAATTACCTCATGTACAAAACTAGATTTTTCTGGTTGCTGTAAATATTTGAGCTAAAAACACAGATTTCTCTTATTTCTGTCTTGGTGCACTGTGCCCAGTCATTTGACCAGCTTGCAGCATACACTGCAAATAGCAGCTGCAGTTGTGTCAAAAACCTCCCATTCTGTGGTACAGTGAGCGGCAGTCCTTGGACTGACATTAACTGCTAGCCTTATGCTTTGAGGATATAATGCTGAAATAATCACTTCAGCATAGTGAACAGTGATTATTCTGATTAAGTTTTACATGGTAGAGATGGAGTTTCATTACGGAGACAGACAATTAGCACTACAGATTATAATAATGATAGATGCAATTGGTGAAGGTAAGAGCACAGTTAGAAGAATTAAGAGGAGTCTCACATGCTTTGAGACCTGTTTAAAAATGCTATATAGGAATAATGAAGTATTATGTGCTAAAAAATTTTAAAAAATATGGATCTTATATGAAAAAATTACAAAAATAGTGTCAACTGTGAGAAAAAAAGGAATCTGCAGTGGAGGAGGAGAACTTGTCTCTCATATCACTGAAGATGACTTTGGTGCTGATCTGATATGCCAAATAAAAATAAAAAGTATAACAAACATTTCCAAATGAAGTCATAAGAAACAGCAAGGCTAGTTAAAAAATAAAAAAATACCCCATTTTTTTTGGCCAATACGAGGACAATATTCTTTATGGTGTCTGTAGGTATCACAAGAGAGTTGTTTCCCTCCAGGTACTCCTGAGGAGAAGTCAGGCGCAGATGTGTGCACACTTCCACTTCTTTAACGAAATGCTTCTTCCCCTCTCTATGAAGGCGAAGGAACTTAATTGTGTTTTTGCCATATTCACAATTGAGGACTTCTACATCCTTGATCTGCAGAGAAAATACATGGCAGTTGTAAAGGTACTCAGTGGAAGCCTGACTTATGCTCAGTCAATGAAACATAAACAATGTTTATGGCCTTTATTTCTGTGGTTACCTGTGATAATGAGAGTATTTCCATTATAAATGGCAAAGTCCTGATGGGAAGAAAAAATGCTTTAGGAGACTATTATTACATTAACAGCAGCTGGGATAAAATTTTAATATATTCTTGCAGCGAGATTGTAGAACAGGAGTAACAGTGAACTAGTCTCTCATTTGTCATCTTTGAATTAGTTCTGACTGTAGACCTTTGTGAGTCTCCCCTCCATCACCTCTTTCTGAACCCAGAGTGTCCCGGTGCACTCTGTCACCTGAGGTACAGCCGTGCAGAGGGCAGGCAGCATTCACACCTGCACCCTCCACAGGCACCCCACCCGCCAGGCTGGGCTGCCTCGCTAGAGACAGCTCCCAGTTTTCCCTGCCACCAAGAACAGACTTTCCCCACCTCCTATTCCTCTGGCTCCCAGCTCTCCCTGTGCTGCACTGAGCCCTCTCTGTTTTCAGCAGAAGCTGGCAAAATGTGTCCTGCATGGCAGAGCCCCTGTAAGTGGTAGAGCCCAGCAGGCACTGCACATCCCCAGGGCTGTCCCCATCCTGTGCACAAGGGCGCGGGGACCTGCTGTTCCGAGGCCGAGTGGAAGCAATGAGTATCAAACCAGTTCTTCTGTGAGAGGTGGAAAGGTTGCTTCCTAAGCAGGCAGAAATCATAAACAAAAATGGGAACAGCTGTCATGTTCTTGGCATGTTGTGTATTTTATTACCCATCTGTGCACGTTGCAGTTCCCAAGAGCAAGGACAAAAGACGCTGAGCTGGTTGAAAGTGTTTCCTCACAACTTACTCACAGTTCTGATCTCCCTCAAAAAGAATCAGAAGTGAATGTGAGCAGCAAAATTCAGGTCTTGATCTACACCTCCAAAATCCTGGCTACCTGGGATCATTATTTTTGTTTGTGTTAAGCCCTGTTATGAAGTTTTATCCTGCTTCTGTCAAACACACCCCATTTACCCATCTCTTACAGTGCTGAAAAAGCTATACTCACAACATGACAAAATACTGCAAAGGTTGTATTTCTGTTATGCTACAATAGCCAGAGCTCATTGAAGTAGACCTTCCCTGAGGCTGAAATATCCCATACTTGGTATCAACATCTTTTAATGTCAATCAGCCCCTCTTATTGTAGGAATAACGAGAAGGGAGAAAGAACATTTTACATACCAAAATATAAATTGAAGCTTTTTATGCATGAGTTGCTAAAAGATTATCAGATGTGAAATTGCTCAATTCAGGCATGTTTGTTCCTCGGTAATGCTAATGCACTTAAAAAATTAACTAATTGTAAGTGAATTAATTTGGCTTGGAGATCAGAGCATTTCTCTGACTGTCAGTCCCTACGAGCTCAATCTCCAGGGGTGATTGAAGGTCCCCACCGCTGGAGCCAGGGCTGGGCAGGGCTCTGCACTGCACCAGAAACCCTTTCTGCAGGCACGGTGTAAGGGCTGTGCTCACTACGAGGGCTAGGTGGAGAATAGTGGGATGGAAGTGATTTTGTTTTGCTTGTCTGAACACCAAGGTTTTTTTTCAGAGAGTTGTAAAAAACTTATACATCAGTCATGCAGCACTAAAAAGAAAAAGGGTTTGTGTGCCTGCAGGTTGGTTTGGGTTTGTTTTAAGCAGAATGCTATGAATTTTATAAATAGTCAAATACAAATTTTGTCAAAAACATAACTTGACAACTGACGTTTTGTTGCCTAAAGAAATCGCGAGCAGTTTTCAGCGGCTCCCAGGAGCCCTTGCCCCGCTGTCGATGGCCGTCCCTGCTATGGGAACCTGACTTCCCATGCTGGTTCTGCCGTCCGGGCAGCGCCCAGGGTGTGCTCGCTGCTCCGTAGGCATGAGCTGACAGCTAACGCAACACAACTTCTCCTTTTAGAGCCTACTCGGTGCTCGTCCTGCGCAGCCGAGAAACCAAAATGCCCGCAGGATCTGCATGGTACCACCCTGCTTTGCTCTTGCTTCTCTCCTTCGTGCCCCTGTGGGCAGCTGAGATTTCCTGCAGGAACGAAGATGGGGAGATAGTCGACTGGTAAGTAAATACCGTGCCAGCGAGAAACTCTGAGTGAGTAAATAAAAACACTTGAGATTAATCCGCGGGAAGTGGGTGGGTCACTGAGAAGCAATGCAGGGCTATCACTGGTTCAGTCCTGTGAGTTTGCCTGTGAGTAGTGGCAGAATTTTGCATTGGGAAAACCAAGGTTAAGTTATTGAAATGTGATTTCATTTCACTGAACCAACCACTGTACCGCGTTATGACTAACTGCAAAATAATCACCGTTTTACACAGCGTTCATGCCTCATGATCAAAGGGAGCATAACCTGTGTAGGGGTGCCAAGGCTGCGCTCGCCAGCGGCAGCCCCGGGGGCAGCCGGCCCGGGCCCAGGCTCCAGCACAGGGCTCATCTGGCGGAGGAGACCGAGCCGAGCGGGGAGAATCGCCCGCATCCCGCCCTTTGCCTCGTAGCTCCTCGCTGAGCAGCAGCGGGGGGGACTTGTCCCCTTGCTGCCGTCGCTGAACGGGGTCGGGGGCCGAGCCGCCCAGAGGGATGCGGGAGAGACCCGGGGTGGTGGCAGCAGCGTGGCAGAGCCGCCTGTGCCTGAGGAGCTGGGGCCGCTCCCCCCGGCCGGAGCTGCCGTCACCTTATAGCTGGTACCGCCCCACTGCCAGCAGCGAGCCCAACTTTGGGTATTAAATGACTAATTGGATTAACGCGCTTTGAAGATGAAAGACGCAAAGTACAATTGCATAATACGTATCCAGCTCAGGTTTAAAAAGTGAAACGAGGGCTCTTAAAAAAGAGCCCAGAAGCTTTCCAAAGATAAATATCAACCAATTTCAAAATAAAAGTGTTTTTCTTGTGGAACAGTGATTAGTTGGTATACAAGTGATAAAGAAACAGGCACATCTTTCCCTTGCCCACAAAGCTAACTGCAAGGAAGGCTGGTGCTCCTGACTCAAGCAGCAGCACAAAGCTGGCTTTGCTATGTATTGGTGTAGCATCAAATGTATGATGTCTATCCCTGTGACTTGTCACCCTTGCCAAGGCTCTTCTGGGTAATGTGATTTTTTCAAGAATCAGCCTTAGTTGGTGCAGCTACCCAACAACTTAAAACTATGAGATATTTCATTTTCATTTCTCCCCAAACTGTAATTATTCCTTGCAGAATGAATTTTTTGTGCTAAAAAAACCCAAAAGGACCAAAATCTAAACAAACAAAAAATCCCACATAAAACCACTGTTACTATCCATTTCTCTAATGAGGACAATTTTTGTATCCATATTCTCTGAGAAATTCTTTGAAAGCTGTGGCTGGGAGTAATTCCCCCATGCCTCCATATGAATGCCAGTGACATGGGGCCTGTTCCAGAGGGGAGCTTTGGCATCTGCACAAGCAAATCCATGTTCTCATTGACAAATGTAGCAGGAAGGACAATGGGACTTCCTTTTCAATGTGCCCTGGCCAAACAAAAGAGAAACTTGCCTGTCTACCAGGGTCATCCTAGTTTATTGAAAAGAAAGAGTCAGCCTTTGGATTCTGGATTTGGTTGCTACGAAGCTGACAAGAGAAGCAGAACTGAAACTGCTGAGAAGAGCTTCCTCTTCACCAAAACATGTCAATGCCCTTTCAAACAAACAGCACTGCAGGTTTAATTTTCAGTTAGCATGAGCTTTATGTGAGTTCCTACTATCCAGTGGTTTCATCCTGCAGTATCCTGTAATTACTCATTATTAGTATTCACACACCCTTTCATTTGCTGCTAAACTGGAAGAATCAGTTGCCTTATCTGAGCTGATCCCATCTGTACTCCCAGCTGGGCTGGAGGCTCCTATGCCCACGCAGTGCCTGGGTGGGCAAAAGTCTCCCCCATGCTCTCATTCTGCTCAGTTCATCCCACTGTCTTCACTGCACCTCACACAGAGGCTACGGGAGGAAATGGCCACAGGTTCAGCTTTCTAAGGAGAGCTTAGTCTTTCCCTTATTCTTTCAAACTCACTGTATTCTGTGGGAAGTTTTCCCTGCAAATAAAAGGCAAAACTGTGCTTTCTGAGAAGTGTTGAGTTGAGGACTGAAGCCATTGGATCCATATTGTTTGTTTGTTTTTTCGGTAGGGGGGAGGGGACGAAATGAAGATGTGATCTAGAAGTAAAGATGTGATTATTTGTTGTAAGCTGGTGTTCAGTCACAAGCAAACAATGTGACGATGCTAATTACGTCTAAGCAGCTTTGCTTTTCCTTTGTTCTCAGAAAAATAACTTTCACTCTGCTCCCACATATGCCTAAGTTCTTGAGAAATTTCCTGTGCACAAATAGCAGTAAAGTTTTTATACTACTTTAATTGGTAATATACTCAGCTGGCTTTCTAGAAAGAGCCAAAATATGTATTCACTGGGAATTGGCCAGCAATTTACTGATAGCTCAATGACTAGCATTTCCATAAGCATACCTGCTAAGGTGGATTTGTCAGATGCAAGGCTGTAAACACCTCCAAAGCATAAATCTTCCACTACATTTCAAAGCTGTTTGGAAAGGCTTCATTTACTACTTCCTGGTTTAGCTTGTACCTACTGTAACTGCTGCTATTCTTCTCCTTTCCAAATCTTCATTTCAGATAAAGGGATTGTTGTGCCAGCTGGTGCACAGACAGGCACGGGCAGCTCTCCTCAGCCTTGTTATGTAAATCACTTTCTTCTCTGCATCTGTCATCAGAAGTTATTTCTCCTGAGGTACTTAAGGAACATCATTCAGTCAGTGGCAGTGGCAGTGCAGGTGGATTACCAGGGTGACCAGTGGTGTGTTTCTCTTCTGTCTCTACATGTACATTTCCCACAGATTAAATATCCTCCTCTAGCAGGATGCTTTCCTGCCACTTCTTAGCTGCATTTGGAGATGCCTTTTGTGACCAACCTGAGACTGTAAATCAACTGGGCAAGGCTTATTCCTCCTGATATACTTGAAGGGTTAAGCACAAGCTGCATTTCTGGTGAATAGTATAGACTAAAATTAATGCCACCCAATCCTTACTATTGACATAAATAAATTACTCAAGTACAGCTCTCAAAGAAAGTGGTTGAATTAATTATATTGCAATTAATCCCATGGACTTGTGCAATGGGAAAACCTGTTTACTTTATCAGGGACCTTAGTATGAACTGAACCATTTACTGACAATATTGAGTACTCTACAATTTTGAAAAGATTTGTGTTTCTGGCTAATAGTTTGCAAATATCCAGTCTGCAACAGTTCAGCAGAGTGCAAGTCTCTTGGGAAAAGTAGGATTGGAACAACATTTTATCACCGTGCTTTATACTTATTTAGTGATTGTAAAAAATATAAATGTAAAATAATGCATTCTTTATTTTAATACCTAATTTTATCTATTTAATATAAAGCCATATTTATATAAGTTGTTTGACTATGAGAAGGTTAGACTGGGTTTGGGACCTGAGGCTCTCTACCAGAACCAGGAGCAATAGGGATTTGGTGGGCTCCAGACCAGGGCTACCTCAAATTCTTTAGGGGTACCAACAGCAGTCTGGCCACAGCAACAGGAGTGTGGTGCTAAATCAGCCTCCCTTTGTTGCTAAGAAGCAGAATAAATTTGTCTGCAGCAGGTATTGTGCTGCCAAACTGCAGCTGGTTCCTGTGCTGAAGCATTGCTTTGAGGCCGGGATGTCCACACTGCACGCTGGTGGCACTGCTCCCCCTCCAGCCGAGGCATCCCCAGGGTTACCTTTCTCTTCCTCAGGTGGGAAGGAGATACTGATTTACACATTCAAATAGGGTGGTGGTAAAAAAGTAATTGCTCTTCATTGTTGCAGGTTTGCTCTTTACAAGTTACCAAAACATGCCAAAGGAGAGATTCCCATGCTGGGGCTGGAATACATGTACATGGATGCCCTGGCTCCACAGTGGCAGCTTGGCAAATACCTCATTAACATGACACAGGGTGCTCTGGGACGAACACTGAAGCAGCTGTATGAGACATATGAATCCAAGGCAAGTGACATTCAACTATTGTTAGTATGTTTACTTGATATTACATGCAGATGAAATGAAACCACCCAAAATAAGCACATGGAGGTATGGCCAGACCTGACTGCCCAGATCTACTAAAGCACATCAAGGGGAGCGCCTTGACAGCTGGGTAGATTATTTGCAGTTTTGGCTAAAAGTAGAAATTATCCTCAAAATTCTAATTTCTAGTCAAGCTTTCCATACACTTAAAGTATTGCCCATCAGAAAAGAGTGTTAGTACATACTCCCTTTGGCTTCTTCTCTGCAATTCATGTTGAGCAACATCTGAAGCTGTGAACTGGCTTGGAACTCAGACCAGGGCCAGTGGTGATTGTTACAGACACCTGTCCTCAGCCCTTCTATGTGCATGTGTTTCACACACTAACTCAAATCAAATCTGGATTTTGATCTCCTCCCTGAAATCACTGTGGCTGCTCCAGCAGTGATATGCTACTGGTTGACCTTTTTTTTTCTCCCACAGTGAAACACCTAACAGATATATATATTTGTGTGAAGTGATTATAAAATACCACAAGATCTGCCTGTAGTTATTTTTTTTACCATCTGCATAGTATTGTTGAGAGTCTGGGTGTGTCTTTGCATTTCTACTCTGGATTAGTGGTAGGGTCTCATTAATTTATATGTAGAAGAGATTCCCAGAAGTCAGTCAAATACCATCAGTCCAGAAACCTGTCCTGTTGCAGGTCTCACTGTAATTGTAATAAACTGTTTACAAACTCTTAGTACGTTGGGAGGGGAAGCATGTCCCGACTGCTTTGAAGTTCTCTGTTCAGGGGAAATAAGGTGCGGCCACATGCAAATATTTTGCAAAAAGGCTTTAATTACTTGCCCTTCTTGAGTACTCTTGTCTATTTTTACTCAGCAGATCTTTTCACTGGATCTGATTGCTAAATCAGAAAGAGGCACAAAAAAACAGAGAGGGGAACTTTTTTGCAAGCAAACACCACTAATCCCATGTAAACTGTCTTAGCAAGCATATTCAACCCTGTGAGAAAGGGCTACTGCAGTGATTGAGAAAACTTCCACTTCATATTAACCAGGGCCCTAATGCTGAGTCTTCAGGTTTATTTTACTGTAGCATCTGGGGAGACTGTGTCATCTGAACTGGGAGCAGGATTAGGCTCATGATGCTCACACAGGAGTCCTGAATTCTTCTGTTCCTAGCAGATGTTCTCTTAAATGCCTTCCTTTTACTCAATGTCATGTTTCAGAAGTGTGTGTTTCCCTGCAGAGGAACACCATTGCCTATGCGATTTACAACGATGAGATCCCTGAATCAGACTCCAAAGGGTGGAAAAGTGGACACACCAAAGGTACAGGGAGTGTCTCAACTTACTATTTTCTCCTTTTTAAAGTTATGGATAGCATCTACTTGTCTGTTTGTCTGTCTGCATATCTAAAATTCCCGCCTGAAGCAAAACTGGAGAATGATTTGCATGATGTGTTCTTTGTTGTATAGTTACATATGCTGCAGCTTCTGTTTTGGTTTTGGTATGCTTGTGCTGTGTGAAGGATCTTAGGGCTTTTGGACTCTTTGTTTCAAGTGTTGAAACATACAGATCCTTTTAGTGAGTACAGTCCACATCATCCTGTGCTTGATGGCAGCAGCAGTACAAGATGTGAAAGGAAAGACACCCTCGACATAAACCCCTCCAAACTTGCTGGGGTAAGAAACTGCTGCCAAGATCATGGTATGCAGTTACAGAAAAACAAGATTTAGATATAAACTTCAGTGGAAGTCTAAATGGTCCCTTGAGGAAGCAGATGGGGTTTGCCCAGCCTGACCTGGAGATGACCACAATTTGCAGGGCTGTATTTTCAGGCTGCAGCAATGAGGACAGCTCAGGAGTTCTGCTCCACCCTGGAGTATCCTCCTGTGGGGGGAAGCGAAGCCTGTCTCTCTGCTGCTTACACATGGAAGGGAATTTGGTCTGGAAGAGAAGACACAGTGTTGACAGAATCTGTTTCCCCTTATCCAGTGATTATATGAAGGGAAGGAAAAGAAGCAGTGGAGAGAGGGTCACGGTCATTAAATCATCAGAACTTTTGAAGACAAAATTTGAGCAGACAAAGAGAGGTTTTGAAAAGATTTTTTTTTAAAAGGAAACATGATGACAGTTTGAGTTAGTCTATGCAGGAAAGAATTGGTGCAATTTAAATACAATATTATTGTCTCCTATGATCCATTAATCTACTCTAGAACCAGTTTACTGTAGATATTAACATGTTGAAATGGGGTCTCTGCAGCAGCAAAACCAAAGCAGGACATAGCTCTATCATCGGGGCTTTTTCCTCCTTAATTCCTTAGCAATAATTTTTTTTTACAGGATTTCTGCTCTTGGACAAATCACAAGGCTTCTGGGTAATACACAGTGTGCCTCTGTTCCCTCCCATCCCTGAGGATGGTTACGGGTATCCAGCTACTGGGGAGTCCTTTGGACAGACGGCCATCTGTATAACCTTCAAATATGACCAGTTCACTGAAATAGGTATGAAAAGCTTTGCCCTAAGAAAGCCTTTGTCCTACCACAGCTCTCTGATTGCTTTCCTTGAGACTTCACCTCAAAAATTCATTGTTCTTGACCTTTGTTGTCAGATTGGGATACCAAATGGGGCCTGGAGAGAGCATTCTTGGTTTCAGTTATGTTTATCCAATGATTTCCTGCATGAATGTGGGAAATTCGCTCTTCCACTCTGTTTCCATCTCTCCATGGGGATTATTAGGATAATAATAGTCACAAGTGCATATCAAGGGTAAACTAGTCTGTGTATACAAAGTGCTTTGGAAACAAAGTAGGATGATTAATCATTTTTAACAGTAATAGCTCGTTCAGCTATGATCATCTGCAGTTCTAAAACTGTAAGGCAACAACTGCTTGAGCTGAAGCAGTAGCCTTGACTCATCAGAACTATGGAGTATGGAATAAATATCACCTAGAATTTCCCCAGGTATTTTTTGCCACAAAAATCACTAATACTAAATATATTTAAAAAACCAAATAACCAACAAAATTGTAAGATTCAGAACTATCTGACAGTGATAACTGGTACTGGAATCCTGAAAAGGACTGTCAAAAGGCATTACAAGAAGTCATGCTGGCATGCTCCTTAACTCTTTTCACACTGTTTTTTCACTCCTTTCTCAAACCTCAAATCATATTAATGAAACACACATGCTGTGCAAAGTGGCAGGGTGGCCACACCTTAGAGCCATCTAAAGCAGGTTCTTGTTTGTGGAAACATATCTATACACATGTTCAGGGAAAAAGGACAAGAAAATGAGAGGCATATGCTAATGCTTTTCCTGCCTCATCCTCCCAGCTTCTGATAATCTGTGGTTCAGGGATTTCCTGAGCCAGAAAGACTGGAATGTTCCTGATGGACTGGTCTTCCATGAACTCATCTAATGAGCCCATTTGTTCCCTTGCTCTTTATGGTATCCACGGCAAGGACTTCTACAGTTAAGCTGAGCAGTGTTCAGAAAAGTGAATTTCTTCTGCAAATTCAATCCAGACGCTGAAAGTCAAGTTCTGTTCTCCCTAAAACCAAACTAGACCCTCGGGCAGCTCTTTTGTTTGCATTTGGCTTGGCAGCTGTAACTGACTGGAAACTACTTCTGTAAATATAGACAGGTTTGGATTTACACATGCTGTCTGAGTGCTGTGTGGCTGCACAGAGGCTTGAGGATGAGCATGGGTGGAAGTGGCAGTGGACCAAGACCACGGGTTAACAATTCTGCTAATAATGAGGTGTAAGTGGAAAAACCTGAGCGTACTCTCCCAGCCAGTCTATGTGCTGCAGGGCCACCTGGAACACAAAGCAATTACACATATTTTTGGTTGCTAAAATAAGATACTTTAACACCAAACTCATCCAGAGATAGGCTGTGAAGATTAGAAAGGACTTAGGTTTCCTTTCCAGGGCAGAACTTTGCTCTCTTGATTGCTTTGCCCATTTTAATTCTGCATGTGTTCATTTCTGTGGGTTTTTCTCAGACCAACAGATGCTGAGTTATAATCCAGGAATCTACAGTTGTTCCATCCCTAACATCTTCCAAGCTGATCTCCCAAATCTGCTGAAGCTCTGTACAAAGTCCAGGCTGCCCGTGGTCCCCTTGCGCCACCTCACCAAGCTCCAGTCAGCTCATGGGGAAACCTTTCTCCACTTTGCAAAGTCACACTCATTCATAGATGGTAAGAGAACCTGTTGCTCTGTGTATCACACATTCTCAATTGATTCTTAATATATTAATTGATATATTCTTTGACAATTAGTATTTTCTTTGAGGGAAAAAAAGAAGTTCAGCTTCAGAAATAAATGAAACAGAGGGCAAGGAATAGTGTCCCATCTTAATATTCTCTCAGCCCCACAAAGCAAGAAGGTGTCTGTTCCATCCTAAGGTATTCAAGGATGATATTTTCAGAAAATTTATTTCCTGTTATTGAACAGTAACAACAAAGAAGAAATATGGGGTTTGAATCATCTGGGGTCTTTTTGTTATCAAGAAAATTTGCAATTTTTTTGTCCTTTCCTTTTTTCCTGCTGGTTGTTTGTAACAGGTTTTCTAGAAGGAGAAAAATTTAGAAATTAGAAATTTCTAAATTAGAAATGAACTTCTGAAACCAAAGTAAAATTAAGGGGAAGAGGCAAAATCCCCTCTGGCTGACTATGCATTGCAATGAAATGAGTGTAATTTAGAGGATGCTTTTCAGTCTATTCTTAAATGAAGGAACATGAAAGACTAATTTCCCCCACCCTGTGTTATTCCACAGATATCTATGTGGCCTGGATAGCTCAGGAACTGAAGACCGATTTGTTGGCTGAATCCTGGCAGCGTTCTGGCCAAAAACTTTACTCAAATTGCTCTCTCGATTACCATGTCTACAACATAAACCTAATAGGGATGCCATTGAATTGCACCTTTCATTCCATTAACGATCATTCCAAGTGGACTGTTTCAAGGAAATACAAAGATCAGTGGACCTGCATCGGAGACTTAAACCGTGCTGCCGAGCAAGCCTGGAGAAGCGGTGGGTTCATCTGTACACAGAATGAACACATCTACAGTGCCTTCAGGCACCTGATAATCCACTACGAAAGCTGCACTGATGCTTCCACAGGGATATAACAGACCATTCCTTGCAACCAGCACAGCCCTTATCACATAGAAAGTGTGTGAAATATCTGCCTTAAAATCTATTTCCTCTCTGAAAAACAACCCTCACCTTGTTCACTACAAAAGCAGATGGTGTGCAGGCAAATTACAGCTGGTTTTCTCTGGCGTGGGACCCAGAGGCTCTGTGTGTGCTGGGCCATGCTCTGCTCTCTGCCAGCTCCTCACCATCCACGCCAGGATGGGACAGGATGGGATGGGACGCTGTGGCACGAGGCTGCACCAAAGCACGTCACTGTGGGTGCCCTGCACAGGCACCTCTGGAGCAACTTGTGAGTGGGGCTGTATGCGGGATGGGAAGGACAACAGAAACCTCTCTCCTGAGCTGGGTTGTCAGGAATGGGCAGTTAGCAGGGGACAAGTACCCCAAAATACCTCACAATCACCCTGTATTTCAGATGCTGTTGAGATAAATTACAGCATTTCTGCTCAGTTTGCGCTGAATCTCTTAAAGAGCTGATTAAATCCAGACAGGGGGATGAGTAGATCTGTGGATAGGAAGGCTTCATTTTTACATGATATATTTTTAGAGAATAAATGCATTTTAAAACATCTTTAAATCATCTGTAACCAATAGCTTGGGAGTATTTCTAGTGCTTTTATTAATGTACAACAATCTTATAAACAAATAAACGTGTTCAAAATTTGAATAAGCAAAATAAGAAAAAAAACCAATCTGTTGGCAGTCTCCCTCTTCCATCTGTATAGTTATTTGTGGTTCGTTACAATGTTTTATAGCTGCCAAAGGAAAAATGGAGACAATTGGAAAAAAAAATAAAGTGAAGAAAATATTTGAAGGAAGATGTTATTTAATCTACATTTTCACATTACAACAAATGTGACTGTTAAATTTCCAATATCTCCATTCTCAGGCTTAGGACCTAAAGTTTGCATGGACTTATTGTAAAGACAAGGCTAATTTGCAAAATCCTGATACACTCTTGGGTTCAGATTTCAGAAGTGTATCTGCATTAATATGTTCCTAAATATATTTATGGAGTTCTATCTCACTCGTAATTTTTTTCCTGAATTGCTAATATAAACTCCAGTCTGAAAAGTTGGCTGTCCCACTAATATTTCTGTTTTGCTGAGTTCATAGTTCCTACCACTGATTCTCCACAAGTGTCTTAAAAGGAATTAGACAGGAAGAAATGCCCCACAACCACAAGAGGCTGTCAAATAATGTATCGAGCCTTCATAATGAAGGGAACTGTGCAGGAATAGGTTTCAAAATTATCTGGATCAAAAGCAAACCCGCATCTCATATCTCAGTGAAAATAGTGTAGATAGCTTAGATATCCTGCACAAAATGTTTTTGTGTTTTTTTTTTTTTTTTTTCTCTGCATATGACCCAATAACATTTTGATAATTTGCTTGGTAATGTTTTCTCTTTGATGCTTGTGAAATTGTTTAACATATGTAACTTTCATTGTTTTGCTAGCTGTGGTTGTGCAACACCTTTTGGGGCAGCAAAAATTGCCAGTGACACAGAACACCGTGCCGTGGGATGGTAGGGCATCACTCAGATAAGCCAAGATAAAATTAATCTGTCTGGCCCACCTTTTCAGGGCAGACACTAACCTAACCTGCCTCTCTGAGCTCTGGCAGCTTGGCCGTAGGTTTGTGTACGCGTGATCTCAGTGTATAGGGCTGGTGAGAAACCCTCCACTGGAGACAGAGATGGTGAGGCTCCCTGTGGTGCATCAGAGAGCACCTGGACCTGTGGCACAACCTGTAATTATGGTATTTTCAAATGCTCAGCCTCAGCATTTGGGTTCACAGAGTTGGACAGCAAAGAGTCTCTGTCCCACTGGTTGGCACAGCAGTGTTACTACAGCCCTGCTTCCCAGGCTACAGGTCTGTCACTTGACTTTAAGTGCTGATTGCTGTTCTTAATTATTTGATCAATTGGTAGCTGTCGTAAGGCTAGACTACTTAAGCATTTACTGGAGTAACTTAAGCATTCCTCTTTCAGTATACCCAGGACCGGTTGCCTCCATTTTATACCTGAGGAGGTAGAAAGAGCAGTGGGAAGGTGCAGAGAAACAGCTGTACCATACAGCAGTACAAGCACCTCAATATACAGACTCATTTCAGTGGTGTGGCAATAAACAGGCTGCAGATCTAGTTCTCTCACGTTTTAGCTGTAAACAGCTTTAATTCAGTTTTGCTATTGTTGTGTAATTTCAGTATTTGCATATCGTAGTATTTCTACTACACATTATGAAATGTGGGCAGGCTCTTTGTTTCCCAAAACAGACTGATAATCAACAAAATAAACCAAATAGATTTTTCAGGGGTTTGTAACTCAAAGACTCTCTGTGCGTGCAAGACCCACTTACTCAACCTCATATGCCCTTACAGCGTGTACTGTGATCAATCATTAGTGTGGAAGACTTACTTACTTTTTGCCTATTTTATGTGCATATATACATATTCATAAAGGTTTTAAATTTAAAAATATGCTGTTCTATTTTAAAATGCCAAACACTCAAGAAATGCCTGCCTGTCCCAGTGATTCTGTGTTGCCTCTGCTGCCCACTGTGACCCTTTTGACTGGAGAGGCTGGTTGCTGCAGTAGGAGACGTGGTACAGCCCCTGTGCAATTTCAGGGGGACGCGCCCAGCAAAACTGACTCTACCGGAGGGCACAAGCACTGGACCCTGGCATGGAGAAGGAATAAAGCTGCCCTCTTGTCTGCAAACCTGGAGTATCTTCTCAGCGTGCAGGTATGGCTGTCCTGACCCTTGGGCTCTGTTCTAGTTAGACTAAATGAGAACATTTATTATACATGAAAATTGTTTGCCGAGGGAGTAGGAGAGGCCAAAAGAAAACATTATTAATCCACTAAACATTACTGTACTGCAGCCAAGTTTGTAACAAACACAACAGTAGGGATTGTTGTTTGGTATAAATTGCCTTGTAATCATTTCCACAAGCTGAGGCTCAGTCCCGGCACGCCTGACACGCTTGCGAGGTGCGGGAAATGCAGATACAGCCTCTTGAAATACACGCCTGCCATTTACATCTCTTGCCCTCACCACTGCTACTGCCATGCCAGAGCAAGGGCAGGGCTGCTCAAAAAGCCATGATGATTTTTCTGTAAACCCCTGTATCCCTGAGGATGCTTCTCTAACACTGGTAATTGTGGGTCAGTAGGGCAGTGGTTTGCTGTGTTGGAACAGTGCTATTTTACACATTTAATGCAGGAGGTCCACGGATTTGACATTGAAGAAAAGCTAAACATAAAAAAAAAAAAGTGAAGACTTAAAAATTTAAAGTGTTTGAAATTTAATTCCAGATGGGCAATTACAATAAATTGTAAACTGGAACACAGGCAGAGGCATTGCAGCCTGAGCCCACTTCACAGGGCAGCCTTTGTGATGGAATTGCTTCTGGTGTCTCCACAATGACTGAACATACCCTGTGCTCTCATTATGTGAGTGATGAACAGCGTATTGGAGAATTTCTCAAGGACACCTGGGGCTCCATGCCAGCTGCCCGCCAGCAAGTCAAAGGAAGTTCTGGGAGAAATTTCTCTGAGTTTCCCGTCTCCAAGGCATGCTAACTTAGCCTGGTGCTTGGACTTGTCACAGGGGTCCACAGGCATCCTTCTGAACCAGAGCAAAGTCTGCTTCAAAGGTGCGTGATGGCACTTCTAAAAGTACAGCAGTCCTGCACAAATTAAGTTTTGATCATTTGATCATCAGGAGGTTTTGATCATTTCACTGTCAGTAACACCCAGTATTCCAGCTATCCTTACAAACCACACACACTGTTCCCCTCTCAGTTTTGTGCAGTTTTCTGCTCTCAACCCCCAAACCCGGGAAGTTTCCAGTAAACACATCTAACATAAGCACCTGTGTCAAACAGGGCTTCCTCAGCTTCCCTGCAGCATGAAGGGAGAAGGTTATTTTTACAAAGACATATGGGCCTCTCATCTCTCTCTTTTGTTTAAATGTACAGACTCCTGGCTTCTGACAGTAGTGAAATGCTCTATAACATCATTGTGAGAAAAGTTTTTAATGTATCAAACCATCCTTGGCATTATTAACCTAGTCACATAATTATCCATGGAGAAACTTACACTCATATGTTAACGCCCATAAATTATTGTGTGAATCTCTTATACCTTTATTTTCAGTTTCTGGGAAAGATACATCACTGGGTACTTAATATAGCAATTGCTTCAGAAGGTGTAAGCTGCCTGTGCCCGCGGTGAAATGTTCGGAGGCAGAGTTGTGCTGGAAGTGTCATCTAAAAGCTCAGTAAGCCAAAGTCTAACTGTGCTCAGAATGTGATGCAAGAATATGATGCACCTCTTTAATTTCACAAGAGATTTCTTAAAAAGACAGGAATTTAAAAATGTGAACAAACAGAAATTGATGGTAGACTAAGTGTGAAAAAAAACATCTTGTAGGGAACAAATTCTTCATAGTACAAGGCAGAGAGCCTGATCTGACATTCCAAGCTAGGATAGCAATATCGGTGTTTTCTAGATATCCTCATACCTTGAATATCTTAGCCATATCTACCACTTTTCTATTTAGACTGGAGATACCAGAATAAAGATCTAATCTGCTGAATTTTCTCATAATCCTTACAAATTTGGCATGAAGGCAGTAAAAGAAGTTGTGTTATGGACCCAGAAATCAGTTGTAACACTTTCAGATCTTGGCCTCAGACAGCATAATCTAATTTTTTAATGCAGATCTATTGTATGCTTATCTTTACGGTTTTAAAATTATTTATCCTAGTATTACAAATATGCTATTCTATGCATATATGTTCATTTTACTAAAACGGTTAAATATAAAACATTAGGACATGAGAAATATATCTTGCTTTTTATAAATAGCTGTGTTACACTTTTACTCAAGTGATTTTAGTAAGTCCTTTTGATTTTATTTTTTCATTTGCCTTTGCTTGACTTTTCTTCACAAGGTGTCTGGTGACTATTCTGATTCTTCTGTAAGAGGGATAAAAGTAAGGAACATTCTTCCCCTCCTTTGATCACTTTGCAGCTTGGGAACTGCAAAGCCATACTCAAATATTCAAAGGTTACAGGAGCAGAGCATAGCATTTAATGTTGCATGCTAGAATAAAGGCAATTGCTACAAGTGGTTCACTGCAGACCAGTAGTTCTAGCATTGCCTAATTTATTAATCATAGAAATGTTGCATGCAAATTAGCCACAGAGTTGTGCATCATAATACAGTAATGCAAAAATCTGTCTTCGCATGTATTAATGCCCACAAATTATGGATATCACACTACAGCATTACATGGTTTTCCCATTACACTCCAAAACTTGCCAAATGCTCGCTAAAAGCTGTGTTACTGAGCATTTTCTTTTTGTTCCTTACTTCTGGCTTTCTAAAGTGTGAGAGTATTTAGCTCCAGGGCATTTTTGTGTCTTCCTTTTCCTTTCTGGGCTAACATTCTGCCAGTTCTGCCAGCCAACCATCAAGATTTCTCTTGCTATATTGCAGTTTAAAAATTTATTTTTGCACCGGTATGAGAATAGTCGGCAGCACTGTCCTTCCCTGCTCTGAAAGCTGCTCCATTTCACGTCCTGATCTCATAAATCTAGGCATTCCACAAGGGAAATCTACATCTTTTCCTCTCTTGCTTTCTTAATGCTCCAAATATTTCTTTCAGGAAAGTCAAGGTGAGAATAAAGCAACTGACAATGTTGCATAGAATATTTTGCAAAAAAAAGACCATGGAAGAATTTCTGCACAACAAATAGGGATAATTTGTGAGTTGTATTCCCAGCCACTCACAAACTTGACCTCCTCTTACTGTCAAAAGATGGGAAGAAACAGAGAAATGGGAGCAAAGAGAGTTTGCAGGAAAAAGGGAGAAGAAGGAATAAGACAACTGCAGGTGAGCAAGACAGAGAGAGCAAGGGAAGAGGAGAAGGAGCATTAGGATTGTCAACACCAAGGAGGTCAGAGACCTTGAGTGTGGTGACAGAGAAACCTTAGGAGTTAGCTGTGCAGAAATCCAGTTTACAGGATATTTAATTAATGTGATAGATACTTCACATCTATCCATTGTACAGATACAGTCTCCATAGGCTACGCCGCAGAGATAAAAATGAAAGGCTTAAACTGAAGTGACTTAGCCAAGTACTAAAAAAACACAAAACAAACCAACACCCTAGAGGAAGTCGCTCCCTCTCTGTTACCAAACTACAAGAGGTGAGGTAAGGCAAAGTCAAAAGCATTAAATAGATAAAGTAGGTGAGAGAAATTCATAAGCTAGGCTAACCAGTTTGAACCACACATATTTGAACAAGATGCTAAACCATTCTTTTAAAAGAAGGAAGTAACGATTAAGGTTTAAAGCCAAAACAAAAATACAATAAAAACAAGAGACACAAAACATTAACAGGAGTAACTGCAGATCATTTCATTACAGCTGGTGATGCTAAAGTGAGGTGCATTTATTCTTGCAGTATGGAAAGAACTGCAGGCAAAAAAAGTAATACAAATACAAAAGAAAATAAACAGAAAATACACAGAAAATACACAGCAATAAGGAAACTGATGCCTTTAACACTTTGCTTTGGGGATTGTTATTACAGATACATTTACAACATATGGTCCATTATTGTCAGGTTAAAAATCAAGCTTTGTTCAGAAACTTCCTTCAGTTTCATCTCTGATCCTGCTTTACTCTCCAGCACTAAACAAACTACCATTGGTCTAATATAGTAGTTTCTCACTGCACTGAGTGTCAAAATCAGAAAGTATTCCTAGGTATTACTTACTGTCACTTGGCTCATGGTGGCTATTTTGTCACCTCCTGGTCTTGGGTCCCACAGAGGAATAATGGCAGTATAGAAGCTGTAGCTCTATAAAAAGTGTCATCTTAATATCAGAGGAGGAGCTAGCCATAAGGGGTTGGCTTCACAGATGTAAATATTTCATAATTTATTTAGCAACGTGGCTTTTCTTTTTCCCCCAGGCAAAAACTTTAACAAAGGAATAGGTCTGCTGCAACAAAGGAAATAACAGCAAAAGCAGGGACAAGGACACATCCTAACCCCACTAATATCATCAGGAATTTGCCTTCATCTTCAGTGGGAACACAGCTTCAAAGACATGGGAATCACCCATAAAACCTGAAGGGTAAAATCTGAACCTTCCATAGTCTATGACACAAACTGTGTTTAGAGGGTGATAGCATAGTCCTGACATGATGAAAATGTTCCCTGCAGGAGTTGCATGTCCTTGTCCTGACCACAGCCTTGGCCCCAGCACTGCCAGAGTGGCTGTTAGGACAGATCTCAGAGAGGTCTCATGCACAGGCAGCTTCTTTGAAAGAACTTCTCTGAGGCAGGACTACACAGGAGCTGGCCAGAGATGAACTTCCTCTTGGTGGACACTTTGTCTCTCTTTGTTCATGGCTGTACTTTCAGTGTCCAAGTCAGGAAGAAGTGACATTCCCACCTTTAGAGGTGTACTTTTTCACATCTGAGTAACTTAAGATATTCTTTCAAGGCCTATCTCTGGCAGAATGAAGGCTGAAAGCTATATCTCCTCAGTCCTACTTTGTGTTGTTAGAACTGAGGGAGATGGGCCATGTGGATATAAAGACTCTTCTCTAGGGAGATTTAAGATCTCCCTTGAGGACTAAGAACATCTTCTGGGTGCACACTGCCTGCTAAATGCTATGAATGTGGGAAAGCCAGGATGAGGGAACTCATTCCTGAGTACCTCTGCAGGTCTTGTTTTGGTACTGGCACCATATAGCAAAGTAGAAATTAAAAGAGCAGAGATACCATTCTTCTGCTAACAGCAGAATTAGTTTCCCCCTCGTTCCTTTGGATGACTATGCTTCTGTTGCTGGGAGCACATAATGGAACATGGTATCAAGTCCCTGTATGTGTGTAATGTGCAATCTGGAGAGGTGGTTACACCCTTGATGAGTGAGTTTATCTGTTCCTCGTCCTCCTGTTTTAGCTCTATGAGAAAAGGTACTCCTCTCTCTGTCCTTCATTATTCCTTGGTCACCAAAATAAGTCTGACAACACAGACACTTTCAAATAAAACAAATTCCAAAGAATGGTAGGTGTTTCAGGAAAATGTTCCATGGAAGTGTGTACCCTAACTAAGGCCTCTCCATTGATTTAAAATTCTATTTCAGATGTTTCATATGGCATCTGCACCACCAGACCATTGCAGGCTGTATCAAGAAAGCAGGAAACCCTTTCAGAAAAGTAGCTTAAAAATAACTATGTTTAACATATGCTAATATGTCTTTGTACTGTACAGCAATGATTTTCAGTCCCTGGGTGTAAAGACATTAGTGTAAGATTAGTAAGTAACCTTTAATAAAGCCACAAATGACTATGAAATAAAAGTTCATGCATATTTTCCATACATTTAATTTCTTAATGAAGCCTGGAAAATTACAGGGAAATTCCAAAACCTTTGCTCTTTGGAAGTCAGACCTATCTTGTATGTCAAAATATACAATTGGGTTTTCTTTGAGAGAGCTAGCATTGCTCAGGGCCCTGCCGGTATAGAGAACTTGAGATTTCAATACTTTTTTTAAAATAAAAGGCAGTATTTCTTTAATGCTAAATTCCTTTGGATTCTAGTGTCCTCACTGTTAACAATCAGCACATTTACAGTCACTCTAAGAAGTGAGGAATGAATCATGTGGTTTGGCTCCTTTGAAAATCATATGCTTTGAAAATGCTATTTGAATTTGTGGGTTTATCTTGGTAGTCCAACTGAAATGACCATCAGCTAGACAGATAGGACACTAAAGGTGAAACACAGTATTGCAGATAAGAAACTAATCTGTTTGTCATGGTTCCCATCTTCTCTGGGTATATGAGCCCAGCTCTTTGTGGGATCAAGTGACACTTAAACATAGCACTATTGAGCACAACTGGTTTGATTATCTTTTCCTGTACCACAGTATTTTAACAAAGTGAAACTGAGCAGCTTCATGGCTCTTACCGCTTATACCGTGAGCACAGTGTCTTCCCTAAGCAAGGGAAGTTTCACAGGCTAACAGCATTTGAAGTAAGTCCAGTGTAAATTAAATGTAGTGTTGTGTAAAGCATGACAGTAAGGTCAACAGAGTAAAAATTAGAAGAGCCAAACTTTAGATAAATTTATGAATGCACTCTACAAATGAATACATATTTGTGCAAAGTATTCGAGAGAAGAGAAATATATTTCCTCTGAAAGGATGTAGGTGTGGCTACTGCAGTGTACCACGGAGATTAAAAAAAATCCTGTTGCTGTGTTCTTGTTGTGTTTGAAGTAATAATTAGAGTTTGCGTCAAGTTTGAATGATAACTATTACCTTCTTCACACAGATCTTCTAAGCTTGAGAGACCAGTTTTCAAAAGCTCTCTAGCAAAGTTATTATGTTACAAGCATTACTCCATCAGAAGAAACTGTAAAAGGATGATCCAAAATACTCAGGGTGAGTCCTGGTTTTTCAGTATCTTCTCAGGATTTGGCTTCAAAAAGGAAAGTCAGCTTTTCTGACAGTAATCTTTCATAATTACAAATGAAAATGATGCAGTTGGCAGACTCTCAACAGCCTTGGAAATTGGACATAATACATTCAAAGGCACAAGCCTTTAAAATATTTCACATGTAGACACTGTTAGCTAATATTCTCAATTAGAATGCATGCTTTTGTTCCTAAAGAAAACCACCAATGCTATTTCTTTTACTGCTGATACAGGTTTGTATCTGTTAATGCTTTGAATTTTCTGATCTGGATACTCCTAGAGGGAGTACTTTAAACTCCCATAGCACTCTGTCCCGGATAGCTCAACACTGAAAAGGATTGCAGTAAGTCTTGTATATGGCTGTATGAACACACTACATATGAAGAGAAGCTTACACCTGAAGAACTTAGTACCGTGAAATAAAGCATTCAAAAGAGAGGAAGTATAGAACTACTGTACAACTTTGATTTGGCCTGTTATGGCTATCCTTTACAACTGGACCATCTTTTGTTTTGTGTACAAAATCTACAGCTTGCTCAGATAATGTGTAGGGGGTTTGCTGGCTTTTAATCCTTTGTATTAAGTGTGTAGTCTTCTGGTATTATTTATTGCTCATTAGCAAGCTCTATCCCAGAACTTAATTCTGTCATAGGAGTTTCCCAGAACTTAATTCTGTGTCAGGAGTTTGATATGTTTAGCTGAAAGAACAAGTGAGAACAAAATTTTAAGCCTCAGCCTGGATAAAAGCCTGGAAAATTATGCATTTAGTTGTTTAAAAAAAAAAATAATCTGGAATGATATGCTAATAATCCTTGACAGAAACCTGCAAAGAGACTGCAATCATCTGAGCAGTATATTCTACTTAAGCTTTAAAAAAGTACAACAGAATTTGCTATTGATAAATAACTTCTGTTTCGGATCGAGAGCAGTTTTGTTGGGATCTCCAGCAATGCCATCACTCCATCTCTCAATGATTTTGTGGTTGGCATCATATCCACAATATCAGCCTTGCAGGCTGTGTAACAAGCTAATGATGCAACCCTTAAGGAAAAACATGGAGGTACTTGTAGGATGACAAAGTTCCACCACACAAATACAGAAAGAAATAATTGAGATTAGGTGAGGCTGCAGTCAAACATGAAGCATTAAAATACTGTTTACAAACAAACATAGAACCAATTAAACTGAATTTATGTAAACTATTTAATTAGCAGATTAGAAAGCCTGATGTTACCTGTGTGATCTTCTGGTCTGACTTCCGGTATAATGGAGAGCAGATTTTCCTGAAATCATTCCCGTCTGAACTAGATTGTATCATTTTAAGGGGGAAACATACATGTTGATCTAAATATCAACAGAAAAGTTGCCATAATTCTTGGTAACCCTCTCAATGGTTAATTAGAGGTAACTAGAAATTAAGATTGCAGCTCTGAGATCTCTGTCTCCCGGAGCTAAGGCATGGATTTTTAAATGGATATTTACAACACAAAATATATTACATATATTTATATATTATTTATATTATGTATAACACAAACATAAAGGGCCCCTCTTAACCTTCTATTTGATAAGCTAAATAGATGGAACTCCTTGAGCCCCACATTAGAAGGAGAGTATCCCTTAATCACATCTCATCTCTATCCTGTGAAATCCTTCTAATTTTTCATCACTCTATTTGAATTTAGGGCCCAAACCCCATTTACAACATTCCACTTTTCCTTGTATTGGTGCCAGATACAGATGAAGTATAGATCTCTTTATTCTTTCTCAATATTTACTTGCTTGGGCAATCAAGAGTTGGCTTCCCTATTTTAGTCACCGCATCAGAGACATAGTGATTGTGGTCTATTAGTCTCCAGCTGCTTTTCAGTGACTTTCATTTCCAGCAGAAGACTCCCTAAGAGATTTGGTGGGCCCTTGTTCTTTCTAGACCATATGTTCTGCTTATTTATTCATATAAAGCAAAAATGCTTTCACACTAATCTTGTAGGAGAATAAGCCACAAAGGGATGTACCAGAGGTTACCATGAAGTATTTGTGAAGAAAGACACTGAGCACAGAACAGATCTCCTGAATCCCATATTGGCACTACAATATTGCACATTTCCATGGGAGGCTGAATTGCAAATGCCATGGCCAGATGCATTGTCAGCTGATGGATACAATCCCAGTACTGAATTGAATGCTGTAATTTCTTTCCAGATGTATTTAAAACTCTTCTGGTTCAATAAGAAAGCAGGACCTGAAGCCTAACTCTTTCCTGCCAAAGGTAACTGTGCCATACCTGCTCTTTCATAAATAATCCTTCACAAATTTAGGAAATTAAGTATTTTCCCAAACGGGAGAAAAATATGATCCATTTGGAAATACAGACAAAAGAAATATTTTAGCTAATTAATTTAGCTAATTCTTCCTTGTCAATTTGTACAGTAACTTTTAGTGAAATGGTGCTTTTGATTCTGTCCTCTGTCTCCTACTGCAGAGAACAAAGATTGTATTCAGCATCAGTCTGCGCTGTGTAAAGCACCAAACTTGTTGAACCATGCAGACCAAGCAAAAGAGAACCTGTGATAAAAGGTCTAACTTAAGAGCAGATTTCACGATGACTTTAATTTCTTTGTTCAGTCAAACCCTGTGCACCAGACAGGACTGGCTCTGACAAGCTTCTACAGAAAAATGATACAAAAGAGACTGAAATCTAGGCCACAGCTACAAATAATTCTTAGGAAGCTCTCTGGATTTCCTGGAGGGCAAGGTGTGGCTCTGTGCGTGGGAGGTAAATGCTTGTGTTTTTCTGTTACTAGTAATTAGGTGCAGTTTGAGTTTCATTAATAAGAGCTACCTATGCATGCTGGAAAAAAAGTTTATCTGACACTGGGATTATATGTTACTAGCTAAATGTCTTACCTTGTGTGTTATCTTTGTTATTTTGTGATTAGCACTTTAAAATGTCCATGATATTTTATCAGTATATAAGAAAAAAAAGTTCTGTTGCAGAGAGTTTAAAATATAAAAGAGAAGGAAATCTCCTGGTAAACCTCCAAGTTATCCCACCAGTCTGTCTAACATTTCAGAACCACTTCTCGCATTAGCATTTCTTTTTATTAGCTTTAGTCATTTTGCTTTTGATGTTGTTTATAATTACTGCCAAATGCAAAAATAGGCTTTCCAGAAATTTACCAGGAACACCCAGCATCGAAATATCAGTCTTAAAAGATATGATAAACCAGTAAAGAAAGAGCATCTTATCAGGGGAAAAGGGCTGGGTAGCCTTAAATAGAAGAGATATTGCAATTCTAGTGACTATTCATCGAAATCTAGTGATGCAAACAGGAAAAAAAGCAAACCTGTAATGTAGCTAAAAATGCCTGTTAAATTATTTTAAAAGTCCATTTGTTACACAGTTCAACCCCATACCATCTGAATATTATGGTAGTTATTCTAAAATTCTTAATTCTTATAAAACACCTTTTTTACTCCATTTTGAGGTTTCATAGCATTACAGGTTTTCAGGCCAGAAGAAAGCACCACGAATCTCCAGCCTGACCTTTTGCAGGGTGCAGGTGGCAATTAGATCAAGTAATGTGTACATCATTTCTGGTGTACATAATTTCTGGTGGAGATAAAACACTTCCTTTGGAAAAAAAATCCACCTTCTTGATTTAGAGATTTCAAGTGGCAAGGAATACTTCCCAGGCCTATCAATTTATTTTTTTCCCAAGGTTTAGTTAGTCCAGAGGGTTCTCTCTAGGTTCTGGTTTTGTTTTGTAATCAAAAAATGGCTCAGCTTTCAAACGCTACATCATTTAAAAGATTTGTCTTCTAAACTGAAGACTTCTATGATTATTCTCTTTATTTATGTAATTCAAGGTGAGTTAGTGCTCATGTAATTCATTGATGGGATAGAGATTAAGGTTCTGAAGCCCTGGTAAGAAGGGTTTCTGGGTCCCAAAGAAACCATATACTCCTGCTTAACTAGTTTCTCAGTTTTTGTCTTGGCATCAGGGCAAGATGTACTGCTCCACCAACCAAAGCCCTGCTGCTGTGCTCTCCACATGTATCCACATGGACAGCATTCCTGTGTGCTCTTGCTTGCTTTTCTGTATTGCTGCTTTTCATAGTGCAGCCCTCCATCAGATAACTAAACTACGATTTTCCTTCCTAGCAATATAAGCCTGCACTTAGCTATCCTAAAATACACATTGTTCAAGGTAGCTCACCTTTCCAAAGATTCTTGTAGAACTGTGGACTGTATCACTTTACAATGTCTGTTTCTTATGCAAATATTATCTTATAAATTTGTAAAATAACTAATATCTGTCACTAGCTATTTATACATGCTTCTCACTTTTTAATAATGCTAGGTAGAAAATTATTCCTGACTATTTTTTCCCAATTAAAAATGTGAAGTATATATTCAGAACTAAGTGTAATATAGCCAGACACTGAAATGTGATAAAATATTTAAGCAATGTATTTTGCTTATTCTTGATAACATATATATTGATACCATGAAGAGTGATCTTCAAGGAGAACAACAGTTTCACTTGAGACCTTTTACTTTGTAACAGAATAGTTATAATTTCTTTAGTACCTTTAGTAGCACAGGCAAATTGTGTTGCAATAATTCTGGACAAGGAGAAAATTCTTGTATATTTGGGGGCAACCTGCACACAGAAAAAGAAGCAAAATTATTTGCTATACCAAGTTCTATTTATTTCAGCAAAATTATTCCGCTACTGTACAAATACGTCCTAATGTGAAGTGACAGAAATTCAATAAATAAAATGAAAACACAAGGTAGCATATTCTGAAAAATATCTGCCTAGAAAGGAGTCATACTCTAATCCTGGATAAACTCTTTCCCTACGTGAAGCAATGTTTTACTGAGGCTGCTCAAGCTATTTGTTATTGCCACCAGCAGAGAGATACAAGCACCACTTCCTACAAAGAGAACCACACTCTGCAAGAAGCACAAGTTTATTTCTACATACTCACATCATTGATGAAATGTTGCCATTGACTACCTTCCCTTTTACAGGACAATTCTTTAGAAAAGGACAGTGATCTCAGAAGCAGCACAACGAATTCAGCAAAATACCAGCCTGGAAACAGTAGGTGCTTCTTCAGTACTTTGCCATCAGTAGCTATTGGATAAACTTCTCAGAAAGTGTAATGTACCAAATTAAAATTTTGTTGTTCATAGAATTTCTATTTGGGGAAGTATTCCAATTTTCTGCACTAGGCACTTGAAACTGCAGCAACCTCCATTACATTTTTTTCCCCAGCTAATATACAATTAATGCATTATGTAGTAGTTATAATCTACTAACTAACCAGAAGTGCTGACAGACTTGTAGTAAATCAAACACCCAGTATTAACCAGGCTGATCTGGTTATCAGATTAAGATAATGGCCAGCTGTGCCATCTTGATAAATCCTGTGGGAAGAAGTTATTGTAATGTCAGTTATAACTACATGGTTACTACTGTGTTGACATCCATACATAAAGCAACTGTGAAGTAACTTTTTAAACTCTAATGAGTTTGAAACTCAACAGTCATATGTATGTCTGTTGTTCAGAGAAGAGCAACCAGGCTGGTGAAGGGACTGGAGCACAGGTCCTATGAGGAGAGGCTGAGGGAGCTGGGGTTGTTCAGCCTGGAGAAGAGGAGGCTCAGGGGTGACCTCATCACTCTCTACAACTACCTGAGAGGAGGTTATAGCCAGGTGGGGGTCGATCTCTTTTCCCAGGCAATCAGCAGTAGGACAACAGGGCACAGGGCTTAAGCTCTGCCAGGGGAGGTTTAGGTTGGATCTTAGAAAGAAGTTCTTTACAGAGAGAGTGATCAGGCATTGGAATGGTCTGCCCAGAGAGGTGGTGGATCCACTGTCCCTGGAGGTTTTTAAGACAAGGCTGGATGTGGCACTGAGTGCCATGATCTGGTAACCACAGTGGGGTTGGATCAAGGGTTGCACTTGGTGATCTCGGAGGTCTCTTCCAACCCAGTTAATGCTATGATTCTATGTATCAGACTAGGGAATTTCCATAATTTTTAAATAATACTTTTGCAAGGGTTTTTTTTTGCAAGAATACCACGTAAAATGCCTTCTTTTTTAAATGCTCTCCTTTGCTTCAATTTTCCTGAGATTGTTTAAGTCTTGCTCTGTCAGACTTCCAAAAGCTTTACTTCTTTTTCTTTTTCACAAGCACATACACACATGTTCTGAGATGTTTTACACAGACATTTGAATGCATCACTGATCACTGTTCTTTGCATGGTGCAGCAAGAGGGTTGAACTGCTGCACCTTCAAGAAGGGCAGGATGGGAGAGCCAGGGAACTACAGGTCTGCCAGCCTCACCCCTTTCCCCAGGATGACTCTGGAGCAAATACTCCTGGAAGACATTTCCTAGCACCTGAGATACACAAAGGTGACCAAGAACAGATGGTGTAATGTGGCTCTACCAAGGGCAAACCTTTGATGGGAAGACTGGCTCAACAGAGGAGGAGCAGTGCTTGCTATTTACCTTGACTTTAGGGAGGCCTTCAACATGGACTCCCACAGTGAGAATATTGAGACCTGACCAGGAGTCCACTCTTCATCCCTTTCAAGAAGAGAGTGCCTCAGCCACTAGCTCTTTGGTCCAGCATTTTCTGTATATCTTACTCTGCACACAGCAACAGCTTCAGCTAGAATGTAAGGTAATGGAAGAATGAAGACAATTCTCACCCCAGGAAAACCTGCAGGCTTGGGATTTGATTGTTCCATTGAAAGGTAAGATGATAATCTCCAGAGGCTGGAAAGTCCTGTCTTCTGCATCCTACTTTAACTTTTGAACTACCTGCTAAGGAAAGCCACTATCACTAACTTTGCTACACAGTTCGTGCTGTTAGGCAGTCCCTGGGAACACCTACCAGAGAGAAGCTGCAAGTGAGAGCGTGAAAAATGTTTGTTTTGAGGGGCCTGGTAAGGCTCAGGCATGATCAAAGCTGTACTAACTGCTCTGCAGTCTCAAGGTTGAGGTGCTTACAGGCATAACAAAAGCAGACCTTTAGGACACCTCTTCATTATCTATACAGCACCATGAAGAGACAGGAGAACTAGCTTTGAATGCAAGAATAAGAAGAGTACCTTCACCTTAGTTCAGTACTCTGCTCCTGCCAGTTGGCCTCCCAGGCATTGCTCAGGGACCTGCTGCAAAACACTGCCAGGCCCCAGCTCGTGTTGCCTCTCCACATCAATTTGTGCTGTTAAATATATGAGCCTCCCTGACACTGGTACACAGCACTGACTTCAAAAGCTGAGGTAGATTCTTCATCACCAGAGTGTTTGGAGGGCATAAATATCCTGCTGAAGGTTTTGAGGACCTCAATAAAGCTAACCCTTGAGGGAACCCTAAGAAGCCACCTTACTTCTTAGTGATGTTGTGGTGTGACCTCATGTTCCTTGTATTGCCCCTCTCCTCACCAGTTTTAGATCCATGACAATACTGATTCCAACTGTGTAATATTGGACATTTCATCCTAGAGAAAAATCAGTCACTTCTCTCTTGTGCTCTACTCTACTAACACACCAAGAATCCTTAGACCAGAGGTACTGCAGAAACTGTCCTCAGAATCTTCTGATATTCAAATTACTATTACCACTTGGTGGTTTATCTGTTTTAAAAACAATCACAAGGACTTCTGGCCCACTGATTCCAAGGGGAAATTGCATGTGCCTTGTTAACAAGGCAATGTAACAACAGTCAAAGTCAATAATTTTAAAAACCCACATATACAACAGCTTTTTTTATTATTTTTCAAATGAAAATCAGTATTCTGTATGAAGAAATAAAAAATCCAGTGCTGGGCATATCTCTCTTCCAACATAGACAACGGTTTATTTGGTTTGGAGCATTGCATTTTCTGGGGCATTTTGTTCAGTATAATGAATCTTGAAGACAAGTGGTATGTCCTGTCAACCTTCTGGTAATGAAATTAAGAAAAACAAAACAGGAAAACAGCAAAATGCTGGTTATTACTTAAACCACACACCCCCCCCAAAACCCTGACAAAAAAACCTCCAATTGGTTCTCTAATAATTTACTGAATTCAGAGGCACCTTTTATCAACTTTTCTCACTTCTGTCTATATTTTCTAACTTATTTTCCTCTTCCCAGATGAATTTTTGTCCTTTCAACTTAATAACAAAGTATTTTTTCAATATTTCGAAATGACAGGAGAGAATACATAAAAATAGTGCTCTGTTGATACAACTCAAAATCTTGCTTCACTACTGCAGCTGGGTCAGTGGTAATTTACAGAAAGGTTTCCTCCAAAATTCCTTAGTGCTGACATGGAATGAATGTCTTCATTCATCATTCTCTACTGGAGAGCTTACTTGTTCATTTACACAAATTAAAGCTACTGGTGGGGGAAGGGTGTGTTTGTTTTTTTGGTTTTAGTTTGTTGGTTGGTTTTAGTGGGGGCTTTTTGTTGGTTGTTTTGGTTTTAACCAAGCAGCTTCTTCCGAAAGATGGTTTCTTGGCAATGATATGTAAGTTGTAAACTAAGGGTATCCTGGTTAAAATGTTATTTGCACAGAACAGACTTCATAGCGAAAACAATCAAAAGACCCTGGAATTCCTATGAAAAAATTACACTAATACTATGCATGCATTTATTAGTTGGGCCTTCCATTGAAGTTGTAATTGTACCTTGTCAGTGATCTCTACCAAGTCCACAATGTGTGGTGTATTTTATTGCTCCTCCCCTGCCTTAGGAAGTTCTTGTATTTTTGCGTATCATTATTTTGTTCCTGTGAGTCCTTGGAAGAAAAGTATTTGAATAATATTAGGAGGTTGTCTTCCCTCTTGCTGGGAGGGAGAAAAGATAATGTGTTTTTTCCACATGTAAGGACTCGGCGATCCCAACAAAAACACTATTGCAAATTGGAACTACAAACAACACAGAACTCCCTGTGTGCTCTGCTAACAGCAGTGATGAAAATCTCTGCTAATGACTGAGAGATACCCTTGCAATCTCTGACATCTGAATCAGCTAGAGAGATAAAGTTACTTGGTTAATGTATTTTCAACAAAATCCTCCAAAATTCAATTACCATGGAAACTACTTATCCTTAAGGCATGAAGGATTGCTGAAATACTTTCTCCTGACAAAAATGGGAGTGAGGCCAGAAAAATATTGGGTTGTGCATAATGAGGCCTTTGATCTTCCCTTTACATCTGTGTTAATTAGAAGTAATCTCAATGAACCAAGTTGAGTTGGAGAGCATTATTCATTTATAAGACAGAACAAGGTTTAAGACCTTGCCTAGTTATGATTATTTCTAGATATTTTTCCATTATCTTCATATGTTTATGGTAACAGATTTCTTTTTCACTTTTCTAGTAAGAGAAACATAGTAAGGCAAAATAGTATCTGTATATAAAATTAGTAGACATACTTCAAGCTTTGAAAAATTCCTTGGGACAAATGGAAATAATTAGTCACACTGAGGCTCAGAATTTTGTAGTCTAAGATTAAAAATGCCTCTAATTTAGCCCAAGCCACCCCAAATCCCTGAGTACTCAATCTCTATAAATCCGAGCATGGTCTTTGCTGTGCAGAAACATTTGCACACCTCTAAGCAGGACAATCAGCTCAGGAACAGAAAACCTCATTTCTAGCTTTATGTAAATTGAATCTCTAATTTGCAGTGGGAGTTCTTGTTTCATTTTAACATCAAGTTTTAACAGACTTTAATGGAATAAAAATAACTTTTGGGAACATTACCATCCAAACCCCTATGTTTCCTATTAAGCAGATGCTCCCCACAACTTAAGTCACTGTTAGCAAAAGTCTGAATGTGGAACGTGTGCACAGGGTCAGGCATTGATGGACTATGATGTTGCCATCATGTAAACCCATCAGTGTGTCATGTCTGCTCAAAGCTTCCCATTTCGGTAGCTAACCCTGATTATAAATTACACTGCAGCAATAATCCCTATTAAATACTTTGATCTTATCTCTACATTTGCTGCTTGCTGAGCAATGAGCCTGGGCCTGCAGGTCCCTAGAGGTCAGCAGGCTGTGCCACCCTGGCCCCAGGCCCAGCTGTGTCCGTGGCACACTGAGCAACCATCATAGTGTGCCCTGGCAGCCAGCGGGGCCAACCCTGTCCTAGGGGGCATCAGGCACAGCATCACCAGCCAGTCGAGGGAGGGGATTGTCCCACTCTACTCTGCACTGGGCAAATGTCACTTTGAGTACTGTGAGCAGTTCGGGGTGACACAAACACAGAATCATAGAATCATCAAGGTTGGAAGAGACCTTCAAGATCATCCAGTCCAACCATCCACCTGGCACTGCCACTGTAACCCCTAAACTACTAAACCAGATCACCCAGAGGCAGATCCAGGTGCCTCTTGAACACCTCCAGGCATAGTGGCTCCACCACTTTCCTGGGCAACCTGTTCCAGTGCTTGACCATCCTAACACTG